AGTTCGCCCGCACCCGCTTCGCGCGCACCGCTCTCGCCGGCGCACCCGCACACCCCGCGTTCCGTGTCGGGTCAACCCGGCAACCCGCCGAGTCGGGTCCGGGTTCGGATTTTCGACCCGTTTCTCTACCCGGGTCGGGTTAGGGTCGACCCGTCCGAGTCAGTTCAGGTTCGACCCGAACCCGACCCGTGACCCGAAATTGACACCCCTAGTTTCTTACATCTAAATCAATATGACTGGCACACAGTAAACTTTATTTAAGAATGAATGCAGTGGTACATAGTCACTTGCAATAGAAAAAAATATCAATAAAACAAAGCATATTCATCTTCCATAAGTGTACAGAAAAAGCTATCAATATATAAATAACACTTCAAAATTACATATTCACTAAGTATACAGAAAAAAACTATTATTCCTCGTTTCTTCATCGACTTTTTCATCAAACCATTATTCATCTTCATCGGCTTCTCCTACTCCTAGCCAATCTTCATCTCATCAGCTTTTTTCTTATCCAGATCGGTCTTCATCTTCATCTTCATCGACTTCTCATCCTTCAAACAAATCTTCATCTTTATCGCCTTGACCTCCTCCAGACCAGCCTTCATCTTCAACTTCATCGATTCTTTCTCAGCAGCTATGAAGCATTTTTTTTAGGTAAAATCCAAAAAAATATGATGTTTTCGCGGTATTTCATTTTTTAAAAAAAAGAGCGTCAATGCTCAGCCCTAAAATTTGAACAGGATTTGTTCTGGGTCTGGTCAGTCGCGCTGGCAAGAAAAATCTAAATAAGAAATAGAAAAGAATATCCACCTGTACAGTACAAGTGTTGTGATTTTATTGGATATACTAAAAAACTATTTTAAAAAATAGTAAGAAAGCTATTTCAAATAAAATCTAAGTTTAACACACAAATTTTATCTTTTAGTATAACTTTTTAGGAGATCATCTATTCTAAGTGTGCCCAAACTTAACATCTTAAATTTTTTTTTTTTGAGACATTTAGACCAATTAAGACAGGCTCATACACACATTGCATATACAAGACTCGAATGCAAGACCTCTTAGTTGGTAGCCTAAGCTTCCAACTAACAGACCAAGGTGAACTGTGTTTAACATCATAATTAATTAGTGAAATTATAACTAAAAAGGAATTATTTGGTTTATAACTTGGTTGAGAAGACTGTTGAGATCTAAAGAGTGGTTGCATATATATTTTAAATTATGATTTCACATCTCAAGATTTTTAAAAAATATATACTTTTTTAGCTCATAAATTTTGATTAGCAAAATTGGAGATATGATATCAAAAAGCTAATGTGATCGAGAATGGTATATTATAAAAAAAAGTTAAATCTTAAATGGCCTAATTATTTAAATTTGATTTTTTTTTTTGTATAATTGACTCTGTACTCATTTAAACTCAATTTTAGCAAACTTTTATATAAAACAAATGTCTCAAGGAGACAAATCCAATGACATAAAATGCATCTAGATTTAAAGTCCAAGCAAAAAAAAAAAAAAAAAAAAGAGTATAATTGAAAACTTTATTAAACCATGAGGGACCAAATAATTTAAAATTTTTGTGTGCATATAGTTAAAATGGACATATTCCCGAGACAAATATGACAAGATGTGATCATTCAATTATTATTTCATTAACATAATAATATATCCAAAAAAGATTAAGGCTTCGTTTGGGACGGCTTTTTTACTGCTTTCTAAAACGGAGTTTTAGTACAAAATTTTTTATTTTTGTATTAAAACTCCGTTTTAGAAAGCAATAAAAAAGCCGTCCCAAATGAAGCCTAAATTATTAAGAAGTCAATTAGGTAGTACCAACTTTGACTGTTTATTTTGGAGTTTCCTGATTCTCAAAATAGATGATTAAGATTCCACCTTAAGAAATTATATAAAATTTATTTTTACATATTTAGAAGGCCCCAAAAAAAGACTTCGGTGTATATAATTCATGAACTTGTAGAGCAAAGTTTTGATCATTAACATCCAACAATATCTATTGACCAATATCGATGCGACTCATCAGCCAACACTAACTATCACCGTCATCTAACTTCTACATTTTTCATTGACCTACATTGTTGCCAACCAGACTACCACCAACTAACAATGGCATCCATTACTTGCCAACAATGACACCCACTATTGGCCAACAAGATGTCTAACATTGGACAAATCATATCACACTATCACATTCGCCTAAACTTGATCATCAATTACCAACATTTGACATCATCCTTCACAATCATTCAATCTACCCTCATATAAGTAGAAGAATTGAATTTTACTATCAGATGTTGCATGACCTCTAACATTTCCATCAATCATTATGTGATTTATATGATGGACATACTTCTAACAACTACCAGCTACCAAAGTCTAACAATCATATACGTAGTTACTAGTTTCATCTCAAATATATAGAACGACCACATTGATCACCAAATACTATCTAATGTTCTACATCATTAAGCAACTATCATTTGATGCCTAACATTGTTTGATTTTATCGCCATCCAATATCTGATGCCTATTTTTTTAATTGTTGGCCTTTCTTACTATAAGGAGAAAGGTCGAACTAATCAATGACCACTATTTTTTTATTGTTATTCAATGCCCGACAATTTCACAATGTATGCTAATTATTGATATTCGATGCCCGCCTTATTAATTGCATATTTCCACTTTAAGACAATTGATAATGTCCCAAGTTCGTTATCCACTAATGTCATGTGCTCGTGTACCTCGTTTGATGGTATTTTGTTAAGTATATACTTGATTGCCGCATGATGTTCGACGTTTCCAATTGACATGTCTTCAATGCTTACCTATCTCACACATATCTCTAGCATTGATGTTTGACCCAATCTATTTTCCTGTCAATCACCTACTATAAGGATAATAACTAAAAAAAAAAAAAACACTAATAATCAATCAATATTTGACATTCATTTATAACCAATGTTTAATGCAAGCTAATATTTGATATTTATTAATTACCAATGCTGATATATGCCTTATCGGTTGCCGATTTCGATCGTCTCCCATAAGAAGAACAATTGAACAGGTCACCGATTGTCTTCTTACATTCGGCATTCCCAATCGATGGTCATTCAAGACATGTTATTGCCTTATTTTCATAAACTACTAACATCCAACATTAGTCTTCCCAATATGTATGATCCCCCATTATGTAAAGAGGATAATTGAGTTGGCATCATCCTTAGACAACAAAAAAATAGATTCATTTTTTCTTTTTATAAGAAATCTATTGCATTAATTCCATATATGTTATATTGTATTAATGCTTTATCAAGTTACACAAAAATAAACATCATCATAATATATCTTTAATGTAAGTAGAATCATTTTTGGATCAGAGCCAATAATTTTCCCCCTTCTCCAAATTTCATAAAAAAAATTCTCATATTTTGTGTTAGCCGCTTTTAATTTGCCTTTATATAGTCGAATTTTTATTCAATGCTAAGATGCTAAATATTTTATGCATCACTCCAAATATTCAAACACTTAATAATGGAATATTATCTTAATTTAGAATTCAAAAAGTTTGAATTAATTGAATTGAATTCAATAATCTTGAAATAGGATTAAAATTAATTAACTTAGTTATATTTTTTGAAAACAAGAAAAACTCAAGCAACTTTGCTCTAAAAGTAATACTTTTTTTTTATCTAATTTAGGCTTCCTTTGGATCAGCTTTATTGCTAATTCTTAAAGCAACTTTTAGTACAAAAATTAAAATTTTGTTGTAAAAAGGTGTTCTAAGAAGCAGTAAATAAGCCATCTCAAATGAAGCCATATCTTAGAGCGTGTTTGTGATAGTTTTCTCCCTCCTTTGTTTTTCATATAACCACCATAATTTTTTTGCCTATTACTTTCTTATTGCTTTTTCACAAAATTTTTAAAAAAATATATTGAAAAGTTATTTATTTGCAGCTTTGCTCTAAAAGTTATAAATTTTTTTTTATCAAATTTAAGCATCATTTGGGATGCATTTCTTACTGCTTCTTAAAATAATTTTTAGTAAAAAAATAATTTTTTTTTGTACAGAAATGTGTTTTAAGAAGCAGTAAAAAGCCATCCCAAATGAAGCCATATCTTAGAGGGTGTTTGTGATAGTTTTCGCCCTTTGTTTTTCATATAACAACCATAAATTTTTTCCTATTACTTTATTACTGCTTTTTACATAAATTTTTTTAAAAAATTTATATTGAAAAATTTACTTATTTGCAACCAAATAGCTAAGTTATTATCATCACAACTTTACAACAAGCTTTATAAAATAACTCCATCATCTCAAACATATCTTTATTCTCCCAAACTAGTTTTTAACAATGTTCTTATTTCTTATGATCTTAAAATCTTATAATAACCTCTTAATCGTTTTAGAAAAATTACATAGTTATGAGTACGTGATGTCTTTAAGTTTATCTTAATTAACCTAAATGCCTAAAAAATAAAAAATAAATAGTTATTGATGAAAAAAAAAAAGTTATTGATGATCATGCCATTGCTTAAGTTCACTCTAGTGCAAAAGAGATTATTATGTGGGGAGTCTAGATTGTTCGGATTTATGAGAGTGCATAGTAAATACATATATTTTTATATAATTTTAGGGTATTCATCTTATATTTGCTATATAATCTCATAAATTTGACCGTCTAAATTCCGCACATAATAATCTCTCGTAGTACAAATGCTGATGGGCCTGGCATGGGCAAATATGAGAAGACTTGAAGGGCATTTTCGTCATTCTGTAAACTTGGAGTAATTCATATTTCCTCAATCCCATGTGCACTCTTGTTCTTTTGTGTGAGCGAGCTTCCCGTTCCCACCGCCTTCCACTAACGTTCGAACGTTAACTCACGGTCAGACTCCGTCTGACGCGTCATCTTCCCGTAGCCTCTTCCAACGGCACCTTTACGTTGAAAAATAATAAAGCACCCGTCTTTACTCCAGTCCTCCCTCTTCTACCCCCCTCTCTTTCTTCCTCCTTTCTGCAAAACTTCGAGATTAGCGAAAAAATCGCATTAATCCAAGTAAATTCGAAGGATTAGGGCAGAACAAGGGAGACAGAGAGGGAGCGAGCTACACAATCGTTATATCTTTTGGCTGTTTTCCATCCTCCTAATATTCTCTTCGTCGAGCCGTCGGCCTTGTTAAGCACTTCACATTCGTAATTTTCTTGGGCAATTTACCTTGAAATTTTGCTGTTTTCCTACGCAAGGAATCTCATTTTCTCTTGTATTTGTTTTCCGATGTACAGAAAGCGAGTTATTTGATGGTGCATTGTTCTTTCCTGTCCTGGAGTCTTGCTTTGCTTGTTTATTCTCTATTACTTCGAACTGGGCTGCAGATTTTGCGTTAGGGTTTCTGTTCGAGGTTTATGATTGGAATTCAAGGCGAGCGTGATGTTTACTGAAGAACTTGAACCCAACGCACTTCGATGGGTCCGGGAGGTTGTAGTCTGCTTCTTTTCTTTGTTCTTTTATTGCCTTTATTTTTTCTTTTTATTTCATGAGATACTTGGAAAAAAAGATGACGACTTATGTGTCTTTATCACTCTAACAAGCAGCAGAGGACCGATCCCCTTCACGGCCTTCGAAATGGCGGTCGGGGGCTTGGAATTCCGCCGCCGGAAAAATTCCGCAGCGGCCATCTGCCCCGCACTGCAGTACCTCTATCTCGCACCATGCCAGTAGATGAATACAGCGAATTAGGATCGGATATGGACGTTTCATCGGGCACTGAAGAAGATATCTATGGTGGCAAGTATTCACCGGAGTCTTCTCCACCTCAAAATGGTATTGGTCATGGGAGGATTCCTAATGGACGCAGCGGAATTGTTCGGCAGCATCCTTACTATAGTGATGGTTATTCGGACTTCAGCTCATCGGTGGAAGGTGTGCGGCAACCGGCGAGGCAGCAGTGGAAGCAGGGGAGCTTGAGTGGCTACACAGTGGAGGGCGAAGAGGGAAGCTCGGGCTTTAGTGGGCTGGTGGGAAGAGGGGAATTTACTGGTGTTAGCGAGAATGCAAGAGGAAGGTACACTGAAGAAAGCTACTTAAGTAAGGGTCGTTTTCAAAACAATACATCAGCTTCAGCTGCCAAGGTAATTGACTTAATTTTTGATTTTTTCTGTATATCAATCTTATGGTCCAAGGGATGATTTGAAGAACGTGATTGATCTTGTGGACAAAATCCTAAATATATGTTTTGAATTGCTAACTAAAGTATTGAAGATAAAATTTGCAAAGGCATAGATGGATTAGAAACCTAATTAGTGTCATCAAGGGGAAATTTTTTGTGGTCACCATTATGCCGTTTTTCTTCCCGTTGATAAATTACCATGGAACTTACCAGTTACAAATTGTTCTTGAGTATCCTTCGAAATGGCACAATTTCTATGTAATGCAGTGCACATCTACGAATATTTTTGTTGTTTGTTTTTATAAATGATTTACTGATGTTCAAACAGGAAGGCAATCAAATATTTGAATACCTTACACGGCACACTTGTCTACCTTTGATGTTACTGCGTATTTATTCTTTAACCTCTGACAAAAGTTTGCTGCTTTTGGTATTTCCCTAATCAAACGAAGCAATTCTTAAGTGCAATTTGTTTTGAAAATTGTTAAATGCAGATATTTGTTTCATTGAAGTCTATCATATAAGTTCTCACAGTCTCACAGAGGAACAAAAAAGTCAAAGCTAAAAAACAATTTTGAATGAAATAAGTTGATATTGATTAAAGCAGCTGTGCCAATCAAAATTATAGTTAGGAAAATCATTTCTTTGTGTTTTTTTTATCTAAATTGTTTTTGTGGCCAAATAATTGATCTTGATGTACTATTTGGTGAATTTTTTGCGTTTATTTACCAAGTAGTTATAGAGTATACGACCATCCTAAAGCTTAGATACCGATTGATTATGTTTTTGTCAGTTTACTGAACCTGGATCAGCATAATTTAATTTATTAGGATTGCTTTAGATTCCTCTGTTTTGGTTAGATTTATCCACATCTACATCCTCAGCTAATTTGTTATTACTATACAGGTTGCTCACAGTTTGGTTTAAATTGTTCTCCATGCAAACATCCTGGAATGTTTCAGATCATATTTGTTTTTCGTGGTGCATCTATTTTGTTATTTTGTTTTCAAAATGGTTAATTGATCACGAAAGGTTCATATCGGCCTATAGGTTGTCAAAATGCTTTATTGTCAAATATTGCATGGTTCACAGTTTATGATACTTTCTCATCATTACATGACCGATCAGTATGTAAATATTGGCTAAGTATCTCGAAAGTGTTGTTTTCAACCCACCAATCTGAGTGCTAACTAAATTGCTCATATAGTTGCTTGTAGATTCTTTGACGACATATGTTTTGTGAATGAGCATGACTTGTATTTAGTAGAAATAGGTCTCTTCCAGTAGAATGCCCTGTGCAATGCACAGAGATGAAGGAATTTTTATTTTCAAAATTAATGAAAGCGAAATTGAAAACTATATGTTGAATATCAACATTTACTTGCATAAAGCTGAAAGAAAAAAGTAGTATTTAGTTTGCTAATTCCACAAAGTATTCTTGATATATCATCAAAAATTTATCTTGATCGAGCGTGAATCTCGAGGCAAATTTGAATTGAGAACTTTTGAAATTATTTCCTGGATCATCCAAACTCCGATTTCATCAAACTTATAGTCGAATTGAACATCTCGAAAAGATGAACCCAACGACACCAAATTTGATTCGATCCGAGCACAAACAGGTCCAAATTAAGGGCTAGAAGCACGTTTATAAGGCTCAATGCATAATTTGGACAACTAAATGATTTTCAAATGTGACATGCTTATATTAGAATCGAGCGGCTTGACGAGATGAATCTAAGGAGCCCAAGATCTCTGAATTCCGACATCATTAACACACTCAAATGCTCAATATACTGTGTATGATTAAGGGAATCAATGTCGGCCATCCATCCAAAGTACTCCTAACATGCCCTTGATCTTTTTCTTATTTATTAGCCATGTCACTCCCAAGGTTTAAAATTGCGTAAATAAGCCTCGAGACGATTTTCGTCCGTGAGGCGAGGCGTAAGCCTCGAGGCGTAAGCCTTACGGACGCAGAATTGCGTAAATGAGAATTTAAGAGTTTTAACAGGTAAATAATAGTAAGATTCTATCATACAATAAAAACATCTAAATGACAAGTAGAATTAGTGGAAATTAAGAAAAGAGATGCAATAAAAGCATGTTCCAAAGTACAAAACTATAAAATTATAGTCTATCGGAACTCCCAAAGTACAATTAAGAAGGAACATATAAAATCCAATCATATCCCATCACTAAATGAGTCTTCAAGAGAATATTCTTCTCCAATTGTATTTATGAATGTCATATCATCATCATCTTCAATATGACTCACTTTTATCTTCACTGTTCAATAAGAATGATCATTATCATGGTAATTGCTCACTTGATATAAGTATAATGCAATACCATATAAGAAGTTGTGGAATACCTTTATTTGATTGTTGTGCTGCAGAGCTAGTGGATGTGTATGGTGTGATACTAGTGGATGTGCCCACTTGATCTGCTTCGCTTCTAAAGACATCCAAACTTAGATCCTCTAGCTGTAAGTCTGATGATGACAAATCTGTCTCATCATCTATGAACCACTCATTATCAGATGACACATCATCACACACCAACGGGTCCTCATCATCCTTCAATCCCTTATTCCTCAACCTCCTATCTCTTAATCTCTTATTGTGCATAATATATACAAGAGAGTTCATTATGAGTGTTGATATCCGATTTCTTCTATTTGTTTGCACTTGACTATATGTACTCCAGTTTCGCTCACACCCAGAATAAGAACAAGTGAGGCCCAAAATTCTAACAGCAAAACTCTGTAACTCAGGGGTGGAATCACCAAATTGGATCCACCATTCAATTGTTTACAAGAAGAAAATGATAATCAGAACTTAATAAAGTGTTTTGCATTTACCAAAATAAGTATACCTGGAAACCGTTTGACAATAGTTGATTTTGCCGCATGCAGACAAAAAAAATCCACTTTATTCTGAAATAGAACAAGTTGTAAATCTGCAAGCTCCCTATCTGTCTGCTCCGGTATTAGTCGTTCCATGCAATGATACAGATCAAGCTTCACCTCCGGGTTTGAAGATTTCCTCTCTGAATATTGAAATTGAGGATTGAGATAATATGCCGCTGCATGTAGATGACGGTGTAACTGTACCTCCCACCGATCATCAATGATATCCCAAATCTCTCCATAACTTGCATCCTCTCCTCCCAAGTTATGTGCAATCAACTCCTTGGCCTCATACATAGCATTATAAATAAAACCCATGACTGGTTTCTTCTCGGCATCCACTAAACGTAGAACTTGCACTAAGGGTCTCGTGCTCAATAGATCACAGTAGCCCAAAATTTATCATTTAGAATTATCTTTCTTATTTTCTTCCCTTCAGTTTTCTTCCCCCACGTAGAGTTAAGCCATTCTGTTGATGTAAACATTGCTTCCAGAGGTTGTCTCACATCCAACAGGCTCTGCAGTATCAAATAAGATGTGACAAACCTGTAGAATAACTTGGATTAGGAATTGATAATGATTTGAAGGGCACAAATGTAATAACATACCTAGTTATTGCAGGGAATGATTTCCTTTTTTGAAAACTTTCACATCAAGGCTAAGACCCATGAGTGGTTGTAAATGAACTTTTTATGAGAGCATGATAAGTGTTACTTCATACGGGTAACTCCTCAATTCACCACTTTTTCACAAAAATTGCATTTCAAATAAACATAAGTCTTCTCTCCGCCGCCTATGTCAACTTGTACACTATCTTTTCAAGAAGGGTCCCTCCGCAATGACGTATTACACATTTCCTTGCCCTTAACCATCTTTCCTAAAGGAAAAAAGCAAAATAAAATAAAAAAAATTCAAAAAAATTTTAAACCCCAGCCTTCCTATAAGTTGAAAAATCATGCCCTAAACTTTTAAAAAGACTTTAAAAACTCTTCAAGAAGGGATGTAGAGGGGCGGCCGAAAACAAGGATCTCACCGGTGAGCGGCGGCGGAGACGTGCGGGCGGCTTCGGGAGCTTGCGGGATCGGGAGAGAAGCCGGGTTCGGGAGCTTACGGGACCGGTAGAAGGGGAGAAGAGGGTATTTCATTTTAATGTTAAGTAAGTGGGACCCGTTTATGAGGCGTATGCCTCACCATAAATTGCACAATTGCGCAATTGAGGCGTACGCCTCATCAAGCACCGTAATTGCGTAGGCTATGAGGCGGTTTTGAACAAAATTGCGCAGAGGCAAGCCTCTTATTGGACAATTTTAAACTATGGTCACTCCCAAAAACTAAATAGACCCCCCTCATTTTTCATAAAAAGGGGGAGGCAAAAAGAAGAGGAAGAAGAAAGAGAAATATGAGATCTCTCTTACCACCAAACTCCTCCTTGACCATCGTCGGGCCACCAATCGTCGTTGGACTTCTGTCCGGCCACCAATCGTCGTTGGACTTCTGCTCAGCCACCAACCATCGTTGGACTTCTACCTGGCCACCAACCGTCACCAGACTTCTGCACGGTCACCGATGGTTGCCGGACTTTCTCCCGGCCCTCGACCTGGACTTCCGCCCGGCCACCTACCAAAGCTGGACTTCTGCCCGGGCATCGACCGTCGCCGTACTTTTGTAGGCCACCGATCGACTCGGGACTTACGCCCGACCACCAATTGACACTAGACTTCCACCTAACTCTTCCTATTATTGTAATTTCACCGTCTTTGAATTAAAGGACGGAATAAGCTTTGTAATCTATTCAAATACTAGTGTAATCATTTCAACTAAGCTTGACCTCGCGGTTTTTCCCTTTTTCAGGGTTTTTCACGTAAAAAATCTCGTGTTTTTGAATTTCCTGTTTATGTGCTGGATATTTGCACAATGTTGAGACAAAAAATTCTAACTCTATCTCCTTGTATATTCTAGCCCGCAACAATTCTTAGCTTCAAGCATACCATATTAAAAAAGACTAAGAGCAATAAAAAAAATAACATATTTAAGGGTTAACCAAAACGGAATTACAAAAAAGTTCAAGAGATGAAAAAACTATACATTTAAGGATTGCTGTTATGCTCCTAGTGATGACCAATTTCTGGTATGTCAGAGAAATAATGGTGACAGAGTAGGATGCCATTATTAATATATAAGAAAGTCAAAATCAAATTCTCATAATCAATTGTTTTGAATTGAAACTAATTAACTAAAGTGTAAAATTTATCTTTACACCATCCTATGACAACTGATCCATATGAAAGAGCTGCAGAGTTGGTGAATAAATTTTCAGAGCAAGGTAAAAAAAATGTACTCTACAAACTAATGGTCCCATTTATTATCTCAATGGTGACATGTCAAGTTTAAGTGCAAAAATGAGGCATTGTCAAACTTATTAGTCATTTGGGGGTACATAGGAAAGACATGCAAAGAAGTGTATACAGATAAATTGTCAGATTGTATTTGTGTAAAAAAAAGGATTTTTATTTACGCTTAGGTGAAGTAATATATTAGTATCCTTGCTGGAGACCATGGGGCCTACACCCTCCTTGCATGCAAAGGTTCCCACCACAATTCTATGCATGGCCTCAACCTACTCATGTCAACTAATCTTAGTAGGGATCTTTGTGCATACAAATTAAGGGTTCGAATCATTGGATCAATCTCTTCATGGCCCTAGGATTGCAATCCATGTGCTCATTTTAGCCGTCGGCCCCTCTTAAAGTATTCCACCCCCCCTTTTTTTATAATTAATTTTGATTTATTTTCATTATAAGGCTGTTGGAAGAGTCTATATATACCTCTATTCATTGTATAAAAAACAACAAGAAAAGTTTGAAGTAGTTTTTTACATTTTTTCTACTTTTCTACAATCTTAATCTTTATAAAGCTAAGTTTATGTGGGTGTGTGCATGTCTGTGTGTATATAATCTTTTGAAAGATCAAAGTTTTTTTAAATTGGATTTTAAAAAAAGTTGTTAGGATCAAGAAATTACTCTGGCAACATATTTACTGGAATAAAGTGGATGTTTGACGTTATTAATGTTAATTTCCACGATGACAGAGATGTTGGATTGCCATTGAGGATGAAATGAAATATATAACAAGTGTTTGTAAAGGAAAAGAGGTTGTGTGCATGGGGATGGTGGCCAGCAAGGTTGATGAGGGCATGGGAGAGGATGTGCTTGATGGCTTTTTTGTCGGAGATGCCGCCTGTAAGCACACTTGTTTGAAGCTTCGATCTTTGATACGGCTAGGGTTTGTGGGATAGTGAAGAGGTATCATAAAACAAAAAAAGAAATAAATAATAGGACTTTACCAAGGATAAAATTGGAAAACAAAGTTGCACTATAAGCCTTTGACTTTATCACACATGCTAAGGATAAAATGGGAAACAAATAACGTTCATGCTAATGCTCTGGCTTTATATATATACATATTGATGTGAATAATATCCTTTGATGTGAAGAGGTATCATAAAACAAAAAAGAAATAAATAATAGGACTTTACCAAGGGTAAAATTGGAAAACAAAGTTGCACTATAAGCCTTTGACTTTATCACACATGTTATGGCTAAAATGGGAAACAAATAACGTTCATGCTAGTGCTCTGGCTTTATATATATATGCTTATTGATGTGAATAATATCCTTTGATGTGAAGAGGTATCATAAACCAAAAAAGTAATAAATAATAAGACTTTACCAAGGGTAAAATTGGAAAACAAAGTTGCACTATAAGCCTTTGACTTTATCACACATGTTAAGGATAAAATGGGAAACAAATAATGTTCATGCTAGTGCTCTGGCTTTATATATATGTTAAATCTTTATATATGGGAAACAAATAATGTTCACTGCTTCATCGGAAGTTCAATAATTATTGTTAAATCTTGCATGCAGGGGCGTCCTGCTGATGTCCCAAGTGCACCACCGTTTTCTCATGATGAAATCAAACAACCTGTTGATTCTGTAAGCAGTTCGATGGCATGTGATACTCCATGCAAGACAGGTTTTAATGATTATTCTGGTAAAGTTGGTATTAATTCACAGGCAAATTCAGGAAGCAAAAAAACCAACCTCAGGTCTTTACAGTTTTAACCGTATTGCAATGTGTTCAGGGAATTGCCCAACAAGAAAAACTGCTCATGTGCTTTGTTCCAATTGTTTTGCTTCACAGCTCTAGTTCAGTTGGTATTGAGGCGTCGACACCTTCGAAGATTTTGCCGTTGAAAGTCCCCACATTTCATGCATGGTATGTGCTTATTCTGACGTTCATTTGTAGTTTTTACAGGTCTTTAGAATATAGTTTATTGCGTTAATTTTATTTTCTTGCTATGCTGTTTCAGTGGACAAGGGCCCTGGCATTCTGTAATTGCATATGATGCTTGTGTTCGTCTGTGCCTTCATTCATGGGCACGTGGTTGCATGGAAGCTCCAATTTTCTTGGAAAATGAATGTTCTCTTTTGCGAAATGGGTTTAAGTGAGTTATATTATTCATCGTGGCAGCTTTTTGTCTTAAAATAATTAAGGGGTTGTTTGTTTCACTTACATCCAAGTGTTGTCATATTGTTAAGTTATGTTAATTGTTTGGTTGGCTGACATCTCTAAATAACAAATTTGTAAATGGATGTAATGGCCATATGGCCCATATTCAATGACTGACTTTTATCAGCTAAACTGGCGTCTGTCACAGATTTCTGGATGTCTCAATATTTCTCTCTTAACAATTCTAAATATTTTGGCATATTTAAATACAAGAACTTAGAAATAAAACACAATATTCTACGAATGGTATTGATATCTACTGACATGGACATGTAGTTAACATTGAACCAAAGAAACCCAAAGTGACAATGAAACTTGTACTTAACAATGTGAGTATTAAGTTAGGAAATGCAATTAGATGTGTGAGGATGCTGAGAAATTTAGGAAAAATAACTTTTTTTTAGTCCAGTGTTATTGTTTGCTTTTAGTGACATCATCTGCATATTACCCATTTTTGAAATTCTTCCAGTTGTTTTTTTATCTAAGCAGTTCTAGTTGCTGCGCTTGGATGATCTACTGAAATACTCCCACCATCTTTTTCATTCTTATTTTTTTGCATATTATTAATGCTTGATCCTTAATTCAGAGTCTTTATTTACTTTTTATCTCAAATAGAAGATGCTAATTTGTTTAGTGGACTTTTTTCTCTCTTTTCTTCTGGTCTTTTGTCTAATTCTTTTAATGTGGTAAATTGGAATCTCCTAGGATGTTCTTATGACCATCAATCTTCGTAGCTCCTCTAGTCTATCAGTTTGGTTAAAAGCTTTTTTGCCTTATATTTGCTTATTTTTTTGGGTTTTGTTACCTAAACTGTTATAGTTGTGTATGAATGATCTAACTGAAACACTCTACCATTTTTTTCATTCATTTTTTTTTTGGATATTAATGGACCTACCGATTTGATTGGGAGGGAATTATGAAGTTTCCTAATCAAGAGAGAGTTGTTTAGGAAGGTTCTTAATCAAAGAAGAATTGTTTAGAAATGTTTTAATTACAATTGAGAGGTAATTATTTAGGGCAAGAGATCTAATTTGAATTCAAAATCTAAAAGAGAATTATATAGGGAAAATGAGGAGGAATTAAGGGGGGACTGTTTCGAAAAATTTTAATTACAATTGGGAGGGAATTAATTAGAGAAATAAATCTAATTTGAATTGTAATTATTTAGGGAAAGGGGGTTGATTTGTGCGGGAATTATGGGAGCCTAAAGTCTAACAATAGAGTGATTTCAGGATAATCTTTTAGAGTTTGTTGAATTTAGTTTATTCTTGGGTTATTTGGGCTCTAGCCAGTGGCTAGGGATTTGGGAGTTGGATCTTCTTCTCCAATTGAAGATTCAATTGTATATTGCATTTTTCTATAGTTCTTTCAATAAAAATTGTTTTGGGCATTCTTCTTTCTAGTTTTTTGTGTTTCATCCGCTAATTTTTGTGAAAATTGCATCAACTTCCTATCAAATACCTTCTTAACACTTGATACTTAACTTATATCTATCTGCTTTTATCTGAATTTACAGATGCTAATTTGTAGAGTGAACAATTGCTTAGTTCTTTTAATGTGGTAAATTGAAAAGGTTGTTCTTGGGACCATCAATCTTTATAGCTTCTCAAGCCTTTCGAAAATAGTCAAATGCACTGAAAACAACCTAAATTCCTTGCAATATACATTTCCAATTTCTTGAAATACCCTAAGTCAATCTTTGTGCTTATAAGAGAAAGATAAAGGGATAAACAAATAAATTTAATTATATTTTAAGAAGAAATACCGTCGTTGTCAAGTCCCAAGTCCTGGATGAGAGAAGTGGAGGCTACGTTAGGTAGTCTGATAGATAGCGTATATTTTGTCGAATAATCATGACATGAATCCTTTAATATATTGTATTAATGTTAGGGCGTTGCCTAAAAGTGAGGCATTGTATGACCTAAATATAGCGACAAGTGAGCAAGGGCTGCTGCACCGGTGCCTGGATGCAGTGTTAAATAGGCAAGGGTTCCCACTTCATAGACGGATGTGGGCAAAATAGGTAGTCCATGAAACTAAAATTATGATAGGAACTTAAAATATAGATTTCCTTACAGACAAATTAATGGAATTAATAGATATTATGATCCATAGGAAGATAAATATTCTATGCATTCTAGAAACTTAATTGGTTAGAGAGAAGATTAAGGAGATTGATAGCTTAATATTTAAACTATGGTATTATGGTAGGAGTCGTACTAAAAATGGTATAGGTGTGATTATAGATAAGAGTTTGAAGGATAATGTTGTAAAAATTGACAGAATTTGAGATAGAATTATAGCTTTAAAGATTGTTATTTATGCTAAAATTATTAATATTATAAGCGTTTATGCTCCTCAAGTAGGCTTGAATATGTGTTCAAAATTAAAATTTTGGAATGACTTAGAAGAATTAATACAAAAGATACATCTTGAAGAAATAATTTTTATTGGAGGAGATTTAAACAGATATATTAGTAGATAGGTAAATGATTTTAAAAGCATTCATAATGGCTATGGCTTTGGAGCGAGGAGTAAGACCACATTAGATTTTTCTTTAGCTTATGATTTTTTATTTGCTAATACCTTATTTAAGAAAAGAGATAAATATCTCATCACTTATAAGAATGGATATAGTAAAACTCAAATTGATTATTTTCTTATAAGAAAAATATATCATTTAGATTGCAAAGATTGTAAAGTAATTCAAAGTGAAAGTTTATGTACCCAACATCGTTTATTAGTTTTGGACTTTAAGATAAATGGGCAGAAGATAAAAAATAAGGTAAATTGTTGTTCTAGGATTAGATGGAGGCATTTCAAGAATATTAATAAAAATATTTTTGAAAGTAAGATTCTAGATCTAAAAATATTATTTGTGCATGAAGAAGTTAATATTATGTGAAAAAAAGTAGCTAGTGATATTAAGAATATTGCAAAAGATGTGTTTGTAGTATCAAAGAGAAAAATTACTTATAGTAAAAATAATTGGTGGTGAAATTAAAATGTGCAAAAAAAGATAAAAAATAAGAAGATTTGTTATAAAAATAGGTTTAGTTGTAAAAATTTTGATAATTGGAAAAGATTTAAAGAGATCTGCAAGGAGTCTAAGGAAGCAATTTGCTATGAAAATTTTTAGCTTTTAATAATTTATATAATAGATTAGATACTAAGGAGTACGAAAGATATATGTATAAGTTAGCTAAACAAAGACATAGTAAGGATTTAGTTCAAGTGAAGTGTATAAAGGATGAAGATCAAAAAGTGCTTTTATTAGAAGAGGATATTCAACAAAGGTGGATGAGATATTTTGCTAAACTTTTCAATGAAGATTATGAGAATGAGATTGACTTTAGTGACATTAGCACCCTAAATGAAAATAAAGATTTTTATTTTTATCGTCGTATTAGTAGAACTGAAGTTAAAGAGGCTTTAAATAAAATGAAGTGTGGAAAAGCTATTGGAGCTGATGATATTTCAATAGATGTGTGGAAATTGCTTATGAGATGAAGGAATTTCATGGCTTACTAAACCTTTTAATATTATTTTGAAGACTAAAAAGATGTCAGATGAGTGGAGAATGAGTATGTTGATTACTATTTTTAAGTGTAAAGGTGTGAACATGATTGTGTGAATTATAGAGGAATTAAGTTAATGTATCATACTTTAAAATTATGGGAGAGAGTTATGGAGCATAGATTACGGTGTGATACTGATGTTTCTCAAAATAAATTTGGATTCATGCCAGGTAGGTCTATTATGGAAGCTATTCATTTATTGAGAGGTTTGATGGAGAAGTATATAGAGAATACGAAGGATCTACATATGATTTTTATTGATTTAGAGAAAGCGTATGATAAAGTTTCAAGAGAAGTGTTATGGAGAGTTCTACATAAGAAATGGGTTAATAATACTTTTATTTAATTCATTAAGGATATGTATGCAGGAGCTATTATTTGTGTTCAAACACATGGTGATTTGACTGAGTATTTTCCTATTTCAGTTAGATTACATTAAGGATCAGCCTTAAGCGCATATCTTTTTGCTTTACTCTTGTATGTTCTCACTAGATATTTGCAAGAGGTTGTACCTTGGTGTGCTTTTTGTTGATGATATTCTTCTTGTTGATAAGACTAGAGAGGGAGTTGAAGTTAAACTTGAATTATGGAGGTTAACCTTAGTCTAAAGGCTTTAGTTTGAGTTTTTCTAAATCTGAATATATGGAGTGTAATTTTAATAGTAATATATTTAGTGGGAGAGATTGTAATTTTGGGTGATCAAGTCATTAATAAGAGTACACGTTTTATATATCTTGGATCAATTGTTCGGAGTGATGGTGAAATAGATGGGGATATTATTAGTAGAATTCAAGTTGGATGGTTGAAGTGGAGGAATGCATCGGACTTGTGTGATAGAAAAGTCCCTCTTAAACTTAAGGGAAAATTCTATAAGATGGTAGTGGGACCTGCAATGCTTTATGGTGCAGAGTCTTGACCATTAAAAGAGAAGCATAATATTAAGTTAAGTGTTGCAGAGATGAGGATGCTCAGGTGGATATCATGGCTTTACTCTTAAAGACATGATACGAAATGAGCATATACGTGAAAAAGTTGGAGTAGGTCTAGTAGAAAATAAGATTAGAGAGAGTCGCGTTAGATGGTTTGTTCACATAAAACGATAGCCTTCCGATGACCTGGTTAGAAAAGTAGATGTATTAGATTTGACTTATGTTTAGAAAGGTAGAGGTAGACCTAAAAAGACTTGATTAGAAAATATTTGAAATGACCTTTCTTTATTAGATTTAGATGAGAATTTGACTCTTAACAGTAGACAATGGAGAAAAATGATTCATATAGCTGACCCCACATAGTGGGATAAAGTCTTGTTGTCGTTGTTGTTGTATATTTTAAGAAGGGAGAGTGAATTATTTGACTGTATTCGATTTAAAAAAAATAATTCATTTAACTAATTTCTTTACTTTTTTGGTTTATCTTTTTTTTTTTTAAATTATGGTTTACTTTTTCTATACATTTTTCAACATTAATATCTACTTTTTATCAATCAATCAAGTCATACTAACCTCAAATTTTCTTAAACTAAAACAAATTGAGCTTTCACAATACTTTAAACAATAAATTTTTCAAAATAATAATCTGCTGTACACAAAACAAGGTTGAAAATTTGGACCTTTGTCTGAATCTTGGATCAGTACAAAAGAAATATGAAAAATAAGGGAAGTGGCCAGCAAACATTATTTTTCCCCTTGAGAAACTTATCCTAGTTAACACTTTCACTGATGAGTTGATGGGTGGTAGCTAAAGAGCTAGGTTGGTTTATGGAGTGTGCTGACTGACATCTGGTTGATTTATTCTGTTTTTTGTAGTTGGCTGTATGACATGGTATTGTTCTCGATACGGTTTTCACAAATTAAGAGTTGTACATTATCAACTTTAAAGCCTTTAATGGAACTATTTTATTGCAAATGGTCCATTTTATGATACAGTACACCATATATATATTTTATTTTTGACAGATTCCTACTTGTTCAAAGCTCTAGATATTTATTGAAATTTTCTTTTGAAACTTCATAGCTAATTTCTCTCTTCCCAAAATCATGTAGTTTGCAGCATATATTGTTGCAATCAGAGGAAGAACTCCTGGAAAAGCGTTCTTCAGAACTTCTTGAAGGAGCTGCAGTAAAGCCGAAAAAAATTATTGGAAAGATGAAAGTTCAAGGTATGTAATTGGTTTCTAGTGCCAAAATTTCGCTGATATGTATTTCCTGTACTAAACTTACTCATGTTTTTTGTTTGATAATTTTCATCAACATGTTTCTATATAATTCATTTTTCTTACAACTTTGGTCTACATGCTGTTCTTTTATGTTGAAGCCCGAAAGGTCAGAATGACTCTGGACAGGCCTTCCGGCTGCAATTATATGTCATTGAGGAGTCCAACAGTGAAACTGGAAACTTTCCGTTATCGCATGTTAAATTTTCAGTCGACTGTATCATCAGGATGGGAGTCACTTCGAAAAGTTCGAGTCATACCTCATCTACCTGCTGATAGTTCTTTTTCCAAGCAAAGCCTAGCATATATGCAAGCTAGCACTCAATACATCAAGCAGGTTTCTGCACTTCTAAAAACTGGAATGAGTTCTCTCCGCAGTGCTTCTTCCTATGAAGTTGCGACAGGTACATAATTATTTGATGTGAAACTACTAGGAGTTACGTTTAGAAATTAGAAAGATAGTTGATTAAAGCTTTGCTCATATAAATTTATTTCTAGCACGTAAAAGAGAATTAAGAATTTGAAATATTCAACTTGCTTAGGCAAAAGACGTGCAATAGGGAATAACCAAAACAATTCTTTCAAAGTTCAAGGCAATATTAAATGCAAAGTACACATAGCATGATCCAACATTTAACAACGAGAGGTTCACCTCAAGGGCCTTCTCACTCAACTACTTGTAGGCTTTTAGCGGAGAAAGATGAACCATACGAAGAAAGATATTAACACTAGGAGGATGGCGCCGAAGAACTTCGTTGGTGGAGCGGTAGCCGGTGGAGATGAGGGTGGTCGGTGGCCGACGATGATCCAATCGTAGTCGGAAAATTGACCGTCGATGACGTGCGCAAGGACAGGGAGAATTCGATTGAAGTAATCTCCAATGTTGTCGTCGTGTTCAAAACCCATGTCGAAGAATGGAGATCGTAGAATGTTGATATTACCGTCGGCGTCGAACACGAGTCCCCATTCAAGTTTGGGATCCGCCATGCATTCTTGAAGTGGTGGGGGAAGAGTGTCGTCGTCTTCTCTTGACGTCAAGTGTGATGAGCATCCAAAATTCCAAGGGAGGGAGTATGGAGAGGGGTGGCTAAGGTTAGGGGTGTCAATTTCGGGTCACGGGTCGGGTTCGGGTCGAACCCGAAACTGACCCGGGTTCAAACGGGTCGACCCTAACCCGACCCGGTTAGGTAAACGGGTCAGAAATGCTAACCCGACCCGACCCGGAACGCGCGACGTGCGGCGGCGTGTCGCGCGCGGAAGGTAATGAGCATGTTGTCGCTGGTCGCTCGTCTGCCGGTAGCGTAGATCCGCGCAGGTGTTAGTGGAGGTAGTCGCTCGCTTGAAACGGGGCGCAGTGCGCGGCGTCGCTCACTCGGGCGCGGTCGCGTGTGTTCGGGCGACGCTGAGGTCGCGTCTGGCAGCAGCAGCAGCGGGTCATGTCCGCTGGTTAGGTTAAAACGGGTTGGCGGTCAACCCGCGGGTCAACCCAAACCCGACCCGTGTTTATAAACGGGTCGAAATCTCTAAACCGATCGACCCGGTTCGGGTTGACCCAAACCCGAAATTTTCGGTCGGGTTCGGGTCGGGTTTTCGTCGGTCGGATCAAATGTTGACAGCTCTAGCTAAGGTAGAGAGAGAGGGGCGGGTGACTTGGTGAGGGAATTAGTTAGGAGGAGTGAAAGAGATTACTCAAATCTGAAAATTAACTTCAGAATTTGGAGTAAATTAGGAGAATTAATTTGAAATTGATTTCAAATTTCAAATAGATATGATGGGAATTAATGGGCATTCAATGGGCCATCAAGAGGGGCCGACGGGTACTAAAGAGAGGGGAGGAGTTATTTTAAAAACTTGAGATTAATTCAGTTTTGAGAGAATTGAGTTTCATAATTTATGTTCATCAATGCATCAATTGGTGGCATGAATGGGGCTCCATCCATGGTGAGGCCGGCGGCTTCTAGAGGGGGGGGAATTGGTGTGGGAGCAATTGAATAGTTTCCAAATCGACACATAAGGTTTAGGAAAGATTATGATGAAATCCGTTTGAATTTGAATTTCATCATGACATGGATTTAAATACTTCCCTAATTAGGAATTTCCAAAATTGGAAAGTTTTGAAATTCAAATTTTGAATTTTCAAAATTGGAACAAGTGGGGGATGGGGGAGGAGTCCGGCGGTTGAATGGCTTGGGGACGGGTAGTGGAGGTGGGGTGGCCGGCGGTCAAGAGGGAGGCTAGGGCCGGCGGGTTGGGGAGAGGAAGAAGAGCGGGATGATGGGGGATAGACCACGAGTCACGGACTCTTCCAATGACTGGTGGGTATTGCTTTTGCCCTCACCTTGGGCTCTCGTTCTCCTCTCTAGAAACAAGATTTCATTCAAAATATTCATTAACCCAATACATCATATGAGACCACTATATATAGGTCTCCACTCATGAAAAAGAAAAAGTATGAAATTGCCCTCTGGGCTACAATAACAAAACAACTCCCCACAGGGGCAAAAACGGAAAATAGTAAATAACTAAATAATACATCATGACATCTGAATCAAAAGTAGAGGCGCTGAATCGTGGCCGTCGATCTGCGATTCCGTCGTCGATAAACATGTCGGTAGCGTCTGTCAATGTCCTCGTCATTATTGACTGCATTTTTTTGTTTTGTTTGCATAATCATGCTAAATGTTTTCTATTTTATAGCAGAATCATATTCTTGCCTTTTGAGATTGAAAAGCTTAGCTGATGAGGACAGGGTTCGAATGCAAGTTGGTTCTGGTGAAACACATGTTTTGTATGTATAATTTATGAGGTGGCTTACAAGAATTAAGATTCTAATTGAATAGCTAACATTTTAATATGGTTTTCAGCTTCCCTGACAGTATGGGGGATGATCTGATTGTTGAAGTTCATGATTCTAAAGGGAAGAATCTTGGAAGGGTTGTTGTTCAATTGGCTATCATTGCAGAGGACGTGGTATGAAGCTGATATTTTTTTGCTCTTTGTAAATTTGATACTGGATTATTACCGACGTAACTTGTGATTCTTTAGAGCAACAAAGTTCGGTGGTGGTCTATTTTTAGAGAACCAGAGCATGAACTTGTCGGACGCATACAGCTTTATGTAAATTACTTGACCACTGCAGATGAAAGTAGTTCTCTGAAGGTATATGTTATGGAAGTCATTCATGCCAATAAAATGGGATCTTTTGAGGAACACCTTCTGGCTTCGGATTGTCTGTGTTGTGTTCACTTCACACATCTGATTCTTTGTTTTAAAATCTATTGGATTGCAGTGTGGTTCTGTTGCAGAGACGGTGGCATATGACATCGTTTTGGAAGTTGCAATGAAAGCCGAACGGTTTCAGCAACGCAATCTACTTTTGCATGGACCATGGAAATGGTTACTTACAGAGTTTGCTTCCTATTATGGTGTTTCAGATGCATACACAAGATTAAGGTATTGTAGAAGTTCTCAGTGTTGTTCTTTCACTGGTTTCACCGTTTTTAGTATTAACCATTGGAATTTCCAAATTATCTGCCAGATATCTGTCGTACATAATGGATGTAGCAACTCCTACGGCAGACTGTCTGACCTTGGTGCATGATCTTCTTGCACCTGTACTGTTGAAGAATGGCGTTACAAAAGCTTTGAGTCATCAAGAGGTGCATCTCATTTCTACCTGTTGTCTTCTCAGAAGATTAAAGCAACTTTATGGTGTTTTCTCTTGCTTGGGCAGCTCATGCAACCTGTTTAGTCTTATTTTCCTTGTAATTCTCAATTTCATCTACCAGGGTATTGCATTTGAAAATAAGTGCTTCAGGCTACAGAAAATAATAAATAATTTTCATTACTTCTTTTATTCCAATTCTTTTTTAGAGGTCCATATTTCAAGTGTTGAATCTCATGATATTACATAAAGGTGTGCCGAGTGTTCTTTATCATGTTTTATTTTTTTTTTCTTTCAATGTGCTTTTTAGTGAAAATAATTTCCTTTGTTTTGTTTGATTTTTTAATGAATATTGCTAAGGCTTTCTGTTGGCATGGGATGAATCAGAACCGTATTCTTGGAGAAGTTGAGGAGCAAATTGAGGTAATTTTAGCCACGGTTTTTGAAAATTACAAGTCACTAGACGAGTCATCGCCTTCTGGATTAGTGGAAGTTTTCCGGCCTTCTACTGGCACAGCAGCTGCAGCTTTGGTGCCTGCTGTAAATCTTTACAAGCTTTTGCATGATATATTGTCGCCAGAGGCACAATTAAAATTATGCAGCTATTTTCAGGTAAAGTGTTTCACGGCACTAATCTGTTAAAACTTAAAACTTGTTTGGATTATTCTGCACTTTTGTTCGTCCTTCTGTAAATAGAATATTTCTCACAATGGTAGTACTTGTGCAGGTTGCTGCAAAGAAGAGATCGAGGAGGCACCTAGCGGAAACTGATGAGTTTATTGGAAATGGCACTGCTAGCACTAATGGGGGAACTACCATGGAAGCTCTGACTCTAACTACTGCCTATGAAAAGATGAAAACTTTATGCTTAAACATAAGGAATGAAATATTTACAGATATTGAGATCCATGATCAACATGTGCTCCCTAGGTTTGTAGTTTTCTTCTTCAAGCTCCAACAATATATATAGATGCCCTGGTTTTATTTATTTTTCAGGATCCCTTTTATGCATGTCAGTAATCGTAATCGCTACATCTTATTAATATTTTCCCGTCTAACCACTTCAGAATTTAAAATGGCATTGCAAAAGATATCATTACAAGCACATCGTTAACCTGCATTTTTAGCTATTTTGTGTTAGCTTGTCATCATTTGCTTGGTATCATTGTATGGGCTATATATTTGATATCAATTCAGAGTTAACATCTTTTTAGAGGTAATAAATAAATATCTATAAGCTTTACAATAGAAGTTTGATTGATGACTTTATTAGAAGTTAATAACATAAGATAAACACTTAAGAAAAATCAAGAAATTTCCTTGCAATATTAACTAGCTCTCTTGAAGGCAAATAATTTCCTTAAAATATAATTTACCAAAGTTAGTAATTCTTAAACAATATGATCGGTGTGCTTTTGTATTAAAAACACATTTTGATTGGGGGCTTTCATGAATATTTTTAGTTCTTAATATCTATAAACATTGTAGGGGCTGTATGATGGATAATTTTTATTTAAGTTGAGAACTCGTGATAAACAACTAAGAAAGACCAAGGATTTCCTTACAGTATTAATTAGCTCTCTTGATAAATATAAGCATATCAGAAAAGCGAGTTTCTTAAAATATAAATAGATCAAAGCGAGTAATCAATATATATATAAAGACAACCTTATGTATTATTGATATTTATAATATAATAAAAATATATATACCTACTAATTCAATTTAAACTTCTATTTTTGAAGTAAAAATAAATAAAAAAAGATTAAAAATAATTAATCATGAAATACAAATTAATTTGCATTTTTTTCTTTTTTTTTTTTTTTTTTTTTTTTTTTTTGCTTATCAAGATGCTTTGGTGCATGTGCTATTAAACTAGTTTATTACATAGAGAAGCAATTTATTTTCCCGATTGCTCATGTTGGAGGTTCTTACCATTATTACTAATTCGTTTCTTTTATTCGTGCTTGTTGTAACAAACTTTATTCTTATTAATCTGGATGCTTCCAATGCTCTTTCCATCGTAACCAGATAATCAGATCCACTCTGTTTAGAGTACTGTTTTACTTTTTTTACTTGGAAATTATATCATAAATTTGCATCCATCCAAACCTAAATTGATTCCATTTTTGCTTCTACACAGTTTTGTAGACCTTAGCAATATATCAGCATCAATTTACAGCGTGGAGCTTTCTAAACGATTGCGTGAATTTCTTATTGCATTTCCTCCAAGTGGTCCTACACCACATGTGGCTGAACTTGTAATTGCTACGGCTGATTTTCAGAAGGATCTCATTAACTGGAATATGTCGTAATAATGCTAACTTGCTGTTTTTGCATGGTCTTTTACACATTTGCTTTTTTTTTTTCCCTCCCTTCTGCTTGTTGTTCTTTAATTTTTATGTAAATTTTTGCAGTCATGTTAAGGATGGTGTTGATGCAAAAGAACTCTTTCACCTCTACATTATATTCTGGATTCAAGATAAACGCCTACAATTGCTGGATTCTTGCAAGCTAGACAAGGTACTTTTCTATTTTTTGTGTTTTTTTTTCTCCTTTATATAGTTTTTAAAGATGCTCATATACTTTTATTTTTTGAGCCTTGACAAAAGCATAGGAGGTGGGATATATCTGGTCTTTGTGTTTGAAAGAATCTCAAAGCTCTCTCTGTTTTTTTTTTTTTTAATTAAACTCTTAAATGGAACTGGCTATTGATAATATGATCCTAAAACGATGATTCTATTATCTAGCTGGTTGTTTTTTTCTTCTATGCTTTCCTTAACAATCATACACACACGCACAAACAAGCAACACTTGGAAAACTTATTCCCTGTATATTTCTTGGAAGCTATGCACACATAAGTAGCATGCGGAAAACTTATTTCTTATATATTTCTTGCAAGCTGGCTGTTCCTTTGTTTATCGCATTGTGTTTTGAAATTAAGATGAAATATAAATTGCTAGTTGTGCTACCTTATTGACCTCTATATGTATTTTACGATTTAGCGAGTATATCGAGAAATGTGACTAATAGATATGCCACTTATCAGAGCATCAGGACACCTCTATCACCATCAAATTGGCTCAAAATTTTATCCAATCATGAAATAGATCGCACTGATGTGCTCAGGACACTGGATTTGCTATGGAAGAGTCATTCATGCGTAACTCAATTGAAAATGATGACGAACATGACCGTTGGCAAGTGCAACGCTAGGAAAAACTACTCAAATGACCTCCAATCGTCAAACGGGCTGTGTCGATGTGATTAAAACATCATATTTACCAAAGGGGAGACCCTCACAGTTGAATTGGTTGAAGGCGATCAAAATTGACGAACTATGGACAAAACGATATGCGCCATTGCCCGAGCACCGCCCATTCGTAAAACGAACTTCGCCATTGTGTTTGAAACGTCGGAGTCATATAAAAAAGACTGTAATATTGCCCATGCCATTGAAGGTGATTAAAATCGATGAACTATGAACAAAATGTTGCGTGACATTACCAGAGCATCACCCATTTGCAAAACAAACTTCGTTGTTGTGTCCAGAACATCAAAATCATATACAAAAGGCTGCAATATTGCCTGTGCCATTGAATGTGATCAAAATTGATAGACTACGAGCTAAATGTTGCGTGACGTTACCTAAACACGTTACCTGAACACCGCCCGTTTTAAAAAGGACTTCGTCGTTGTGACCGAAATATCGAAAATACCTAGAAATGACTATAATATTGTATGGGTTATTACATGAGCAAAAACTCAAAAATTGTGAGGCAACAACACGCAAATCAGGGTGCACGTAAAATGACAAAAATGAGTAGGTTGTAATACTGTGTAAATCATGAATGCCAATTAAAAAAAAATGCTGGAGTCTTTGATTAGGACATTCTTGTTCTTAGGGCTTTTTATTATACACTGTACTACTGCTTGGATTCGCATGTTTGCAAATATTTTGAGGTGTTTTAAAGTTTATGATTATGGACATATGGTGCTCACATAAGGAACTTAGAACTTTGATAAGGGAAGTAATAATTAGAACATGTTGTGTCTTTGTTGGTGTGAAGTTATTACATTATTAAGATATTTCCTAGTTCCTTTTTTATGACACTAATGCTCATATAGTTTTAATCTAAGATTTACCTTATTTTTCACTATTTTGTTTCTCTTGTTTACCTCGTGATATATATATTTTTAAATGTTTAAAATAATACTTCTGTTTTCTAATACGTTTTGCATGTTCCTATTCAACTATTGGGTAGGTGAAGTGGTCTGGTGTTAGAACGCAACATATGACAACTCCATTTGTCGATGGCATGTATGATCTACTGAGAGAAACCCTCAACGAGTACGAAGTTATCATCTGTCGTTGGCCAGAATACACTGCAGTTCTTGAAAATGTATGTGTAAAAAAAAAAAAAAAGATAATGTGTGTTTTGTATGTGATTTGTTGTGCATTCTACGTAGCTTTTAATATGTCCACTTATGGATCAGTTTCCCCTTTTGCCTGGACCAATTAAAAGGCAATTGCAGATGTTGAGAAAGCTGTTATTGAGGCTTTAGAGAGGCAATATGGCGATGTTTTGACTCCCTTGAAGGATGCCTTGGCACCTAAGAAATTTGGCATCAAATATGTACAGAAGCTGGCTTCACGCAGCAATGCGGGCCCCTACACCGTCCCCGATGAAGTGAGCTTTCCTGTTGTTTGTTATCTTTCCAATACTCAAGTCTTCACTCATATTTTAATTTTTCGATCAGCTTGGAGTTCTGTTGAATACCATGAAAAGGTTGCTTGATGTTTTGCTACCGAAGGTGGAAGTTCAGTTTAAATCTTGGGCATCTTACATGCCTGATGGTGGAAATACATCTGTTGGCGAGCACCTCAATGAAGTTATGGTGTCTCTTAGATCAAAGTTTAGAAACTACATGCAAGCAGTCATTGAAAAGCTTGTGGAGAATGTAAGTATGTCTGCAAAGTATTAATTAGCATAAACTTTAATCACTCCATTTTATTGCATTGTTGATATTTGGTATATACAAGTTTAAATGTACCATAAAATTTGTTCTTCTGTTTTATTTGGAAGCAATGAGATTTGATTTTGCTTTTTTTTTTTTTTCTCATTTTATTGATAGTAATTATGCTCTTGGCTATTCTTGCAGGCAATTCTATTTCTTTCTCTTACTTTGGATAAGCATATTATTAGGCCTTGGTGGTGTCTTCAAGAATATAAAGTGATACTTAGGTGTGATAGGTTGAACAATTTTTGATTTATTTTAAAGAAGAATGAGTATGTGGCAGAGGATATTTCTTTTTTGGCAGAGTGATTAATTTATTAGAAGCTTCTTAGAGAATAGCATGTATACTTGGTACAGGAACAACAAGCCTTTATCCCACTATGTGGCTATCTGGGGTCGGCATCATGTATACTTGTTAAATTGTATAAAATTGAATAAGTCAACTATGATGTGTGATTTTGAGTGTAAAAAGATCAGTGATAGATAAATAAAATTTGATAGAAACTTTGAATATTAAGGAGAATGTATGGAAAATTAGGAATATTAGATTGATTAGTGAAGATATTAGAGGGCCATTGGGAGTAGAGATTTTATTGAAGATACATCAGTAAAAAGTAGATTTAGTTGGTTTGGGCATGCACAAGGTAGATGTACCAATAAGATAGGAATGGAATGTCTGAGGATTAGTAAAAAAATTTGTAGACCAATTGAAAATTGTATTGAAATTTGCAAAAGGATTTGCACAGAATCAACATTAAGCATTGGAATGACATGCTTAATATTGATGATTAACCATGCATCTAATTCAAGTCAATGTAGGTGGAATAAATGGAGGCAGAAAGACAAATTGTATGCATATTTGTATCTGCTGCATATTACTCACAAATATACAAATATGAATGCCTGCTTTTTGATGTCTTCATATTTCTTAAGTGAATACATGACAGATTCATAATGAGCCGTGCTTCTAATAAAATTTTATGAACATGTACTTTACAGAGTCGTGCACAAAGCACAACAAAATTGAAGAAGATTATTCAGGATACAAGAGACGTTATGGTTGAATCTGACATCAGGAACAGAATGCAACCTCTGAAGGATCAACTCATAGAAACAATAAATCATCTTCATACTATTTTGGAAGTCCATGTCTTTGTATCATTATGCAGATGCTTCTGGGATAGGATGGGGCAGGTAAATCACATAGTTCTACTGCTATGTTGAATTCACTTCTATTGATGGTTAATAATCGTTTTAAATGGTTTTAGGATGTCCTAAATTTCTTAGAAGATCGGAAAGAGAACAGATCTTGGTACAAAAGTGCTAGAGTAACTGTCGCTGTAAGTATGTCTCATATTGTCACTGTCTGGATTTCCTTCCATATGGCCCTACATTTTGTCATATTGGCTTGCCTAGTGTACTTTACCAAATCTTAAATCAGAATAGATCCAACTGAGAACTTTTTTAATTAGCAGTAAATGCAAGTATTTTGGATTTTCTTTAATAGATTTTACTCCAATCATTTTTTTAATCTATTTATCCCTTAATTTATCTTTTTTCATTTTAATTTTCACATGTCCTTCTCATCATTCTCTATTATGTTACACAAAATTTAGAGATGAATGGCTTTTTTATTGCTCAATATTTAGATCCACACAACATCGTCGGCTTAATTGTTGTTTTATAAAATTTACCTTTAGGTTTTCATGATATTCTTTTATCATTCAAAACTCTGGAGGAAATTCATAACTCTTGTATATTATAGATCCAAAACATGCAAAATATGTAAGTTTATAAATAAATAGCAGTTATAAGATAAAATATATTGTAATAATATGCAAAGATAATATATTCTAATTTAATTATTTGTTAATATAACACTTATACATAAAATTTTACTTATGATAATTACTTTATATATTATATTTCAAAATAACTTTTACTTGCTAATAATTTATATAATCTGTGTATTCTAAATTAGATACAATCCTATGAAATCAATAAGCTATATATATATCGTATGTTTTAATTTGTATTATTTTAGCGTTAATTAATAAATATGTATTATGTATTAATAATATGTATATAATTTTAATTCATAGTATAATTTAGAGTTATATGATTTGAAAGTATATATTAATGTATGTGTGTGCATATTTAAGTGACTATGATTCTAAAAAAATTAGAGGTATCACATTTAATGACTTTTGGAAGTGTGGCTCAATTAATATGATCCCAAAGTCGAAGGCTAAGAATTATATTTGCCACTTCCCTTCGAGGAAATTGTAGTGGTTCACGTTTTTCCTCTTTCTAATTCTTTTTTATATGTAACCAAACAAACGCAAAGTGTAAAAAGTATGTTGGTGAACAATCTTTAGCTCTAAGCCTAGCAAGTTTAATGTGCACCGTGAGCAATATTGGCTAAAGCAACCCATTATTTGTCTTAGTTTTCGATGCCAATCTATTAGATTGGTCCATTGGACTGGTCCAGCCGGTCCATACAGGGTTCCGCCTCTGTTAAGCGTCGTTCAAGCGGCAAAGTCCAAAAGAGCTGTTTAGGAAGGATTTTTGAGGGATTTTGGTGAGAAATTTGAATGGAGGGACTATTTAGAGATTTCCTTTTGGATTGTATGCGTTAAATAATTTGTTTTCCTAGGGTTAGGGCATCTTGAATTTGGCTGAAATTTGAGATCTCTTAGGTTTTTGGGCTCTAGCGGCATCTAGAGATTTGGCAGAGATAGATCTCCTCTTGAATAGAGGATCAATTGTACCTTGCTATTTTTCTTTCGTTAGTTTGATTATTGTAATTAAAACTACTGTTTTATGATTTTTTCATTGAATTTGTGGATTGTTCTCGTTTTTTTTGTCAAGATCGTTAGGCTTTAATTGTTAACTTCAAGTATTCCAAACTCAATCATATTCACCTCTCAAATGTAGGCTTTTCTTGTACTCTTTTGCTTTATCATCATAGGTTATTCTTGGTCAATGTATCCTTGTTTTTCTTTTTCTGATTTGATCCTTGTTGAAAGGAGTATTACATTTTCAGTTCCAAAGCTTTTTCCAATTAAACCTATCTAAACTTCTTATGTTAATTCCAAAATCTTTAGCAATTTTTTAATCTTAATTTTGATTGTAAAAGCAAAACAGTTTCAGTTATGTTCTGGATTACTTTTTTTGGCTGAGGCTGACTGATGCCCAGGCGTCTTATCTGTTTGAGTTAGTAAAAAACTCATGTTGATGTTGCAGATTTTGGACGACACATTTGCATCACAGATGCAACAACTGCTTGGAAACGCACTGCAAACAAAGGATTTGGAGCCTCCAAGGTCAATCATGGAAGTGCGTTCAGTTCTCTGCAAGGATGCATCAACTCATAAGGATTCAAATTTCTATTACTAGAATTGTTGAATTACATGAACATTTAATACTGAATGGGTGACCTTGCTGCGCTATTCAGCATCAAATTCTGAAGTCTCATTCAAAGCTTCTATTGTAGAATGACCTTCATTTTTGATTGATGGAGGGGAGCTGGAGAGGTGTATAGATGGAAAAAATTGTTTTTTTGTAGAGTTTATCATATGGGAAGGTTATTTTAAGTTAAGAATGACACTGAAGGATCCATCCAGGTCTGCTCAAGGCTCAATCGAGTATCTAGGAAGAAAAATGACGAAGGGACTATTCATCCAAGCTAAGCTCAGTGGCTGCTTCAGATTTCCAAGGTTGTAGATAAGATGATGAGAAGTTTTGACAGGAGGATTTCAATTATATTTGTACCAGTAAAGGCTGTAGTTTTGAATAGGTTCAAGGTTCAGTTCAGACTTATCTATATAAGGTTGGTATTTCTGATACTACATGTAATAACTACCGTTATTTGTTTGACATTAATAGAAGCATCGTCTCTTTTGATGACTGTTATCTTTGCACCCATTATCTTATAAGGGTTCGTTTGGAACGATTTTCTTTACTGTTTTTTAAAGCTGTTTTTTAATAAAAAAATTGTTCCAAATGAAGTCTAAAACTTCAATTAAATGAATGAAACTATTCATCTATATTTTATGATTTTTTTTTGGCAAATTTTGAAGGTAATGTTTTTCAATAATGGTTTTTAATGTAGTTTTCAATTTTTCATGCATGTTATGCATTATTGATATAATGACTATGATTGAATGTTAGTTTTAATGTTATATGGAAGGTCCAACTTCTTACTTACTACTAATAATATTGATTAAGATCTTTTTAAAATTAAAGTGGAGCTTAAAGTTTGTGGTTAATATTTATTTGAACTTAAATTATAATAATATTTTTCTTTTTATAAAAATAAATTAATAATATGATATTATGTCAATTTTATTCATATTTGACTATTTTGATTTAAAAACATCTTTAAAAAATAATATATTGGTTTTTTTTTTATTTCATGGCATTTAAGTTTTAATTAAATCAAGAAACATCTCACAGTTAGAATATACGTGAAAAGGTTGGAGTAGCTCCAATGGAAAATAAGATTAGTGAGTCGGTCATATAAAATGATGGCCTTCTAATGATCAGATTAGGAAGATTAGGAGAATAGATGTATTAGATTTGGCTAAACAAATCATAACAAAAAAATGCACATAAAACAGTCCTTAAATGAATGGGAAATATCTTAAAGTTCACAAATATCTGGAAGCAGATAAGGTAAGCCAATATACACAGCATGGGTCCACAAAGAACGTCAAACAATCCATTGTCGATACTGACATTTACATGAAAGTGGACTTTCAAATAATTAAAAAATGATCTTCCAATAATAATCTGTGCAATTCCAAGCTATCTATAAGCCTTTCAATCAGAAGATCTGATCCAATATAATCATCCATTGCCATTCCATAAAGCAGCTTCAGTGTTTCAAAAGAACTTAGATATGACACGACAGGAAGACAAAAGGGCCACGGAGGCGGCCTTTATGATCGCTGGGTTTTGGTATATTCTGGTAACATGAAAAATAAAAAAAGCAAGAATAACTAATTATATTCAACATTGTAAAAAAAAGAGAGTAAATTTAATCATAATTTTCAAAAAATAATAATCACTCTATGGTTGGGAGTAAAGTCGCCCAACCATAGAGCAAGAGCCTCCTTATGCAAATGAAGAAACATAATTTAAGGTGATGATACCATGTAGAATGATATCATGCAACTAAAAAGAAAAAACTCCAATCTTTTCACGTATACACTCATTTCGCATTTTATCTCTAAGTGTAAAGCCACTCATCTACCTGAGCATCCTCATGTTTGCAACACTTGACTTAATTTTATGTTTCTCTTTTAATGTCCAACATTCTGTGCCATAAAGCATTGCAGGTCTCACCACCATCTTATAAAATATTCCCTTAAGTTTGAGGTCTTGAGGGGCACTTTTCTATCACACAATAGGCTCGAGGCATTCCTATACTTCAATCATCAAACTTGAATTTTACTAATAATATCCACATCTACTTCACCGTCTCTTTAAATAATAGATCCAATATATCTAAAATGTGCACACTTTTTAATGACTTGATCACACAATGTAACAATTCCACCACTAGATTTATCAATTCTAAAATTACACTGAATGTATTCAGATTTAGAACTATTCAAACGAAAGTTTTTAGATTCTAAGGTTGACTTTTATCATTCAAGTTTTTCATCAACTCCCTCTCTAATTTTACCAACAAGAAGAGTATTATAAGCAAAAAGCATACACCGAGGTACATCCTCTTGCAAATGTCTAGTAAGAACAGACAAAAGCATTAAGATATGAACTGAAAGCTGATTCTTGATGTAATCAAACTGAAATAGAAACATACTTGATCAATTCTGACAAATTCTATTTCAGCCCTGTTATAAATTAAATTCAGAATTTATTAAATCCCATCATTCACAGGATTTAACAAATTTAAAGATTTCTCTCACAAACTTTAAATCATGAAACCAATAAACAAATAAATATCCCTCAACCAAACTTTAAATCATGAAACAAATAGCCAAATAATTTATAAGAATTTAGCAATATTTAACCAGTTATCATGCAAAACGGTATTCTGATTTTACTCTCTCAAGATGCACTAAGCCTTACTAGTAGCCAAACAGCAACTATCAGAAAAATTCAGCAAACTATTAAGCTTAGAGAAGTAGAAATATGCTTCCGCAAAACCTCAAATAAATGAGACAAATCATAAAATGATTTCAAACATAGCAGATGGTTTTTAGCATTTAATTGTATTGAGTGAATAATATAAATTTTGCAAATTTCTAATCAGTTTGAAGGAAAGAGTAGAACCGCTTACCCAACAGCAGTTGCACCCCAAGATGTAACATTATAGATAACTTGGCTTCCTTCCCATGCCTTCATAAGCTTGCTTTTCTTCTTCTTCACCGAGAACGTCTTGTTAAGTGCTGCACGAGCCAAAAAAAATAGAAGCACTGCGTCAGAATTTTCAGTAACCTCATTGCATGCAATTAAAATCAGAGAATAGAATTAGCTGAAATAGATAAACAACCCACCTTTTTGAAGTTGATTAGGAGTTAATTCCTACAAAAAGAAGCAATGTTAAAAAGATATATACAAGCTGCTATAGTGTGAAAGCAATTTTTTTTTTCTTTATCAAATTTTAGAAAGCATCAGTCAAACGTCTAAATCAAACAAATATATATATATATATATATATATATATATATATTGACATACTTTGGCTTCTTTAAGCGATAGTATATACGCAGCCATGAAACTTGTGATCCCCTCCACTATGTCTTCCTGGTTAACAAGAACATAACCATCGAGGTCTTCTTTGCTCTCTGCACCAAATTGCTTATGGTCCCATAAGTCTTCTGTACTAACCATTTCCCAGACTTTGGTATCATCTAGAAAGCACCAGATATCATCCATAATAACAGCATTATAATCAATATTAATTATGAACCAAAAATAACTCTGTAATGAAAACATAAATAAATATATAAAATGGCAAACAAAAGCAATGAATATGCAACTACTGATTTCATGACAAAGTTGCAGATTTAAAAAAAATAACAGTAATTCCATACCAAATTCACTCTGAGAAACTGAAACGTACATGCTCCCAAGTTTTTCAAGGAAGCTCTGCGATTCAACTCTACATTTGACCATTTCACATAGCTGCAACGAAAACTGTGTAAGTACACTGTAGCCATACCATCAGGCAGAAATATCGACTGTTTAAACATTATATCATCATTATCATTGATAATTATCTTAAGTATTATAAGTAGGCAATATGGTTCTTCAACCCCCATTCCCTTGACTCAACAATTTATAAGGGCATAGTTGAACATGCTTAACCAAATTAGTCATAATAAGTTAGGTACTCTCAAGGAGTAGCTTCCCAAAGCACATGGCATGGGCGCCGCCCTAGGGTTGACATGAATAGAAGTGAGGGGTAGAAAAAGGAAGAAATAGTCATAACCTAATATTTCTTTTTTCAAGCACTTAGGCCATAGTTTAAGTAGCCATAAGCAAACCTGCTTGGAGGTTGCTCAAAGGTCAGTGCAATTTAATGTCAGTTCTTAACTTGTTTAGCTTCTAGCTTGCAAACTCATCCTCTATTATATTAATTAAGAGAAACATATTATATCATTATAATAAACAACGTTGAATAAAATAATGAATTTTCAAGTTTCACTATATTCCATGCTAAAAGCATTCTAACACAAATTATCTTTAAAAAATATAACTAAGCTATATTAGTTTATAATATCTATAGAGATAACAAAATCATTGAAGCTATTAATTCTATGTCCATCATCATTCATGCCCTCTACTACGACATTGGATTTCTAGCCAAATCTTCCTGGATCTCTCTTCATCCTTAAAATTTACAATTTAACTCACTGCCTTAAGCCGTAAGGCAAAAAGATAACAGCGTCCTCTCGTCTGAGCGCATGGATCTTCTTTAACGAGGTTACATGGCAGCAATTATTAAAGCAGCCTACTAAAATAGCATCTAGCATAATTATTTGCAATTTCAACACTAGTACATCACAAATTCAAAGATAGCTAACTAAAGGCTTGATTAAAAAAAAATTATTTAGCTCTCATCTTCATGCTTCAACAATATGTATGGCATAGTACTGATACACCTTGGTATCAAAAACAACCAACAAACCCCAATAAATTCAGCAAACAACAGATTTTTATTGATAACAAGAAAATAAGAACAAACAAGATACAATGATCCTCTTTCAAGAGGAGGATCTTCTCTTCCAAACCCTAGACATTGCTAGGATCTCTCACAAAACAGTCGACAACAAGACTCCAAACAAAATTCTGCATACCACAACATAACATAAATGCTGCTACTTATAGCAAACAATAAACAACAAATACCAAAATAGCCCTTAAATCAGCCCTCAAATATGTCATATTTAATTAGAAAACATATCCTAATTAACCCTCCCCAAATATACCCTCAAATCTATCCTCTTTAATTAGGAAATATTTCCTAATTAATTCCCTCAAAACCAGCCCTTCTTTCCTAATATATTTCTCTCTCCAATTTGAATTTCAATTAGAAAAAATTTTCTAATTAATCCCTTCCTTAATTCCTCTTCTCACATAATGAATTAATGCTTTACTGGGTCACACAACAGGAGCCGAAATCTGACCAGGTTTAGCCACCCCAAGGGTTGCCGATGCATCAATATTTCCCCCCAAAAGTACCACCTTATCCTCAAGGTGGCATGATTGTTGCTGAATAATCTAGTAGGACTCCCACTTGGCCTCGTGCTCCGAGAGGTTGTTCCACCTAATCAACACTTATTTGCTTCCATGTACTCCGTGTCGCACTTCTTTGACCTCAAAGGGTTCCAATAACACCTCTATGCCATGTAAAGGTCGGGGGAAGTGAGAAGATGGAATATGCTCTCCTATCACCCGTCGCAGTCGAGACACATGAAACACTAGGTGGATGGCTGACGATGGTGGTAGCTGTAGGCGATATGCCACAACTCCGATGCGTTCCGCTACCTCGTATGGACCAAAGTATCGGGGTGATGCTTTCTTATTTTGTCTCTGTATCAGAGTTTTTTGTATGTAGGGATGAAGTTTTAAGTAAACCCTATCTCTTACCTCAAATTGAATGTCCCTCCTGTGTGCATTTGTCTTCTTCTTCATAATTTGTTGAGTTCTCAACAAATGCCCTTTCAGTTCCCCTAAAATCATGTCTTTGTCCTCAAAGTATTGTTCTACCAAAGCCACCGATGTGCTACCTTATCCATAATAAATCAAGTGAGGTGGATCTAGTTCGTATAACAACTTGAATGGAGTAGGACGTGTTATACCTTGAGGCCAATTAAACCTTGAGGCCAAAAGGCATTACCAAGAACTCATAGTGTCCCTCATGTGTCTGAAAAGTTATTTTGTGGTTGTCTCCTGGCCGCATTTTGATCTGACGGTATACGAATTTCAAATCGATCTTGGAGAATATCATAGATATGTGCAACACATCTAAAAGCTCATCAATAATTGGTATGGAAAAATTATTTGGTATAGTTTCCTTATTCAGAATATGATAGTCTACACAGAATTTCCATCTCTCATCATTCTTTTTCATCAATAATACAAGGTTAAAGAAAGGGCTCACACTAGGCTTGATGATTCTAGCTTCAAGCATCTCCTGAGTAAATCTTTCAATCTCATCCTTCTGGACTTGAGGGTAGTGGTAAGGTCGAATACTGATAGGGGAGACTCCTTCCTTCAGAACAATAGAGTGCTCATGCTCCCGAGGGGGTGACAATCCTTGGGGAAGCTAAAATACTTCTCCGTACTGCTGGGGAAGTGGTTGAACCATGACTGGAATTTCCTCTACATCCTTTGTCTCACCTCCCTCCAAACTCTGGAGCTCTACCAAAAATCCCTTGTCTTCCCCGTGTAGGGCACGAACAAGGATTTTCAAAGAAACCATGGCTTTAGATAAGCTGGGGCCTCCCTTAATTACCACTTTTCTCCCCTTCACCCGGATATCCATAGCTAATGCCTTCTAGTTTACCTTAGTTTCCCCCAAAGTTTATAGCCACTTCATTCCCATAATCAAATCAATGCTCCTCAATTGCAAGGGAAGAAAATCCTCCTTAATGTGAGTCCCTAGTAGCTCCACCACCATACTCTGACATATCCCTCTGCTTTTCTCTACATTTTATGTGCCCATCATCACTTAGAAATATCCCGTGTCTAACAGCTCCAGCCCCAATTTATCCACCACCTGGTTTGATATGAAATTGTGGGTAGCCCCACTGTCTGGAAACTCCTATATGTCCTCTCACCTTCATAGTGTGATTTAGAGTGAATCCCACCACAGAGTTAAATGAAACTTCCACCACCTCTAAGTGTACATGCTCCTCTTCCTCTTCGTCCTCTGCTTCGTCCACCTCCTCATCACACACCAATAGAACCTGCAAGGCTTGATTTTTACACATATGTCCTAATGTAAATTTCTCATCGCACCTATAACATAACCCCTTTGCCCTCCTGTCTTGTACCTCTGTTTCTGTGAGGCTCTTTAAATTGCTATTCGGAACTACTCTAGTGCTCTTCTCCTTGGGTGTTTCCCTCTGAAAAGACATCGTCTGGGTCCTCGGTGTCATGGTCATGGAGGTAATGTGAGAGTTCGTTCCTTTGATTTTTCCTTTCTGGATCTGATTTTCCTCCCAAGATCGTCCGGGACGATATTGAGATCGTCCAGGACGATCAGTGCAGTGAATACAGCTGATTTTCTGGAGTGGATCGTCCAGGCCGATTTTGGATCGTCCTGGGACGATCAGAGCATGGCATAAGTCAGGAGCAAATCGTCCAAGAAATTAATTATCGTCTTGAGATATCGTCCTGGACGATTGAATTTTGTTCATATCGTCCTGGACGATGTGGCGATCGGCCGGGCCGATCAGACTTGTTTTAAAAGGAAATCAGCTTGATTTGATGAGAGAGAAAATCATTTTTATAAAACAAAATATCTGAGGAGAGAGAAAGAGAAGGAAAGCAAAGGAAAAGCTGGTTTCCGGAGGCCGCGGAGCGCTTTTCGTTTGCTTTAATGAAATCTCATCAAGCAAATAAACACAATTAGAGAAATGCAAGTAATTCCCTATTAGAAGTTCCTTCTTTTCAGTCCAAATGGAAGACATCCCCACAAAACCCATCCCTTTCTTTCTCATTTTTTCCATACTCATCCGGTATATTTTAGCTTGTCCATCCAATTTTAATTTTGCAAACGCATATTCTTCGAACATTATTTGTCATTAAAAGAAATTATTCTTATTTGTTATCTAGTAAATAAAAACTTTAGAATTAATTTTACCATAAAAAATAGAAACTTCAATTTTGAATTTTTTTTTTCATCATCTACGCCAAATTTTGCTATCTAAGATTTTCATAAACCTCATATTAAACATCATACAATATCTATCTTGACTATTTCACTACTGCCAATACTAACATTCAATTGAATCGCCTTGTAATCATAACAGAAATCTATCAGGTTCACATGCATGCAATCGATTAGTTTCTAGATTTTCAATTAGTTTTATAACCATATTATATTAAAAAATTTAGTGAATTGATTTTACAAACACATTTTAAGTCAAAATACCAACTGAGATGTTTGTATAGCATAAGCGTTCCATAATTTCAGGATGAAACTTCTCAATTGAGAAGTGATAAGCACGCATCAATAATTGCACAAATACAGATCTAAACCTACAAATAAGTGCTCAAAATCCTAATCACCGCACAAAACACTCTACTTTTCTTAGAAATTACGACTGTCGTGCCTGCTTCAGCCAACATAACTAAAACCCAAATATGAAACAATTGACTGATATCACCATATTAACTTCTGTTTAAAGTTATTCCTAAGACATCATAAACTGCAATTATAAAAGGTAAAGAACAAAAAAAAAAAAAAAAAAAAAAAAAAAAAAAAATCCTCACAACATCGGCATCAGAATCAGCTGCGGAGAATGACAAAGGCGGCTTCTCCTTCCCCTCGGTGCAGACGTTAACATCAGTCTCCGCATCAACGATCAATTCGGGCTCCTCGAGAAGTTTCAACGCTCTCTGGCACTGATCCAGTACCGCTTGAATGGTCTCCCGCTTCACCCTTACTTGCTCTGCTTGCCCAGGAAGCCGCTGTTGATTCGCTTGCGGGGACGAAGACGCTCTCGCCGCCGCCTTCACTGCCTCCGCCACCGCAATCCCCATGATGTCCTAACCCCAAATGATCGGAAGAGCTGGTGAACGAAACCGAAGATTAATCGCCTGACCTATCCTCCGCCACGCTGAAGCCACCCCCTCAGTCTTCTTCGTCGTTTGATCGGTATAGGTTGCATTTTAAAAATACAAATTAAAAAAAAATCATGCGAACTTATTATTATTAAAGCATTTACTTTTTTTTAACATTCAAAATTTATTTTAATCATTTAATGATTATTAAAAAACATAATAATTAAATTAGTATATAATATTGTAGAATGAATTGTCATATACTATGAATTTAAGTATTAAATAAAAAATATTTTATCATCTTTTAAAAATATTAAGAGATTTTTCTTTTAAAATATAGTATTTGTTGATCCCACGAGCTATTTAAAGATAATATACATATATTGAAAATTGATCTATTGCTATTTGAGCTTCAAATAAGAAGCTAAATTTTAGTCACCAATACCATAAGCATAGGCAGTGCTATAATGGAGGTCATAGAGGCACAGGCCCCCACCGGCCCATCTACCAATAAAAGCCCATTACAGTATAAAGAACCCAAAATGGTATTGCATAGCCTTTTTAAAAGCATAAAAAGGGACACAATGTGGGGATTGAAACCAAACCTCTAGCTTAGAAAGTATCACCTGATCCATTGGGACATGAAGCAATTGATAATTTACTTTAAGTATTTTTTTTTACTTAAATTATAACTTATATTATATATTCATAATTTTTTATCTTGGTCTGAATTTTGAATCGCTAAAAATCATATATATATAAAATTTATATTATAATTCTCAATGCTGCTCCTCTCCAAAAATCTGTTTATAGGTTCATGTTCAAGGACTTCTGGACCAACTTTGATGATTTTTGGGAGATAACCCAAAGAGCTTTTGATAGACCTTTGACTGCTAGTCCGATTACTATTTTTTTAGATTGCCTGGGATTTCTTAAAAAGCACATTCGTAGATAGAATTGGAATTCCTCTAATTTCCTCTCAAACAGTATCCTTGAGCTCAAGAATTCTTATGCTACCTGTCTCTCCAATCTTCAAAGGGATCCCTTGAACTTGGCACTTAACTCACATCTTAAGGTTACTAGTGACAATTTGGCATTACTTCAGTCTGCTTGGCACTCTTGGGTTTCTCAACGAGCTAAAGCCTATTGGCTTGCTCAAGGTGAGGATGACCTTGGTTTTCTCTATGCAAGGATTAATTCGAGGAAAAACAGGAATGTTATCAAGGAGCTCTCCACTCCTTCTGGGTTGCTTTCATCTCATAGTTGCATCGCTAAAGCTCTCATTAATCACTTTAAGGCTCTCTTCAATGCTCCAACTCCTATTCTAGAAAACTCTCATAATATTCCTGTGGGCAATTCTGTGCCTTCTCATTTTTTGACGGGCCTTGTGTCTCCAGTTACTAATGCGGAAATTAAAGGGGTGGTTTTTGAGGGGTTCCTTCCTCTGCACCGGGACCTGATGGCTTCTCCTTTGGCTTTTATCAGAAAACTTGGCATTTATCTGGTTTCCTACTTTGCAAAGCTGTGAAATATTTCTTCTCCACTGGGCTTCTCCCTAGAGGTGCAAAGGCTACTGCTATCACTCTTATTCCTAAGGGTACTCACTCCAACTCTATTTCTGACTTCCGACCCATCTCCTTATGTAATGTTTTTTATAAGATTGTGGCAAAGATTTTAGCTAACAGGATGAAAGATATCATGCCACACATCATTCATGAGAGCCAATCCGGTTTTATTGCCAATCTATGTTCTACTGATAACATTATCCTTGCTTCTGAGTTGTTGAGGGAGTTTAAAGATTCCAATAATTTTTTCTGTGCTAAATTTGATATTAAGAAGGCTTTCGACTCTGTCTCCCGCTCTTTCCTGATTGGTAGGCTTAGACAGAAAGGTTTCCCTGAAGTTTTCATTTCCTGGATCAATGCTTGCATTTCTGATGTACATTTCTCCATATGTCTGAATGCTCGTTAGAGGGGTTTTTCAAATCTTCGTCTGGTTTGAGGCAAGGTTGTCCTCTTTCTCCCCTTCTTTTCTGCATTGTTATGGATGGGCTATCTGCTAGTTTGGATTACATGGAGAACAACCCTTTCTTGGGTTTAAGATATCTCAATTTTAATATTAGCCATCTCATGTATGCTGATGATCTGTTGGTGTTTGGTTTAGCTAATGTGGAGAATGCCAGATATCTTAATGATGTGCTTGAGAATTTTTCTATGGCTTCTGGGCTGATTATCAATCCGTCTAAAAGCAGCATTCTCTTTTCCAAGAACTCTCTTATTGCTCAGCAAATTTTGGGTGTCCTTGGGATCTCTCAAGTTCATTGTAATCTCACTTATTTAGGGATCCCTATTTCCACTAAAAGACTCAATTTATCTCACTTCCAACCCCTCCTCAGTAGAATTTCTACTCTTCTTGAGGGTTGGAAAGTCAAATTTCTTTCTTTTGCAGGTAGAGTTCAATATCTCAAATTCTCTATTGCCAGCACTATTGCGTATTGGATCCGTGGAGCTATTCTACCTAAAGCTTGTTGTAAATTCCTTTCTAGAATTTGCTCCAAGTTTCTCTTTTTTGGCAATATCCTGGAGAAGAAAATGCATCTTATCTCCTGGCATTCGGTTACTTTACCTAAAAAGAAAGGGGGGCTTGACTTACCGTCCTTTGACTCTCTATATCATAATATGGCTTGTTCCTTTATTTTTAGAATGTATAATCAAGAGACATTAATTGGCAACTGGTATAGAGTGAAGTTTGACTCTCCTTGGAAAACTCCTCCAGCCTCTGCATCTAAGTTTTGGAAACTTTTTAGCAATATTGTTGCTCTTATTAAACATGCTGTCTCCCTTTTGGTGCATCAAAACTGCAAGCTTTCTTTTCTTTGGGATCCCTGGTGTAACAAAAAAGCGGTTGCTGAAATGCTAGACTTCAATTGGAATTCTAACCTGTCGGTGGGGAATTTTATTTCAGATTATGGTTGGAATTTACCTGATTTCATTCCGGGACATGTTAAGGCCAGTATTTGTAATTCTGTGATTGTTGAAAATGGGCCTGTGTTAACCTGGGATTCGGTCTCTGCTGCTAAGCCTTCTAACAAGGTCTTTTCTGAATATTTTCATTTTAATCTTGAAGATGTCAACTGATTTAAATATATTTGGCATAAAGGCTTTGCTTTACGGTATGCCTCTTACTCGTAGATGGCGATCAAACAGAAACTTAAAATGGCTGACATTTTGAATATTAGGGGTATTCCTGCAAATCCAAATTGCTCTTTATGTCTTGGCAATTTAGAAACTCATTCACATGTCTATTTCGAATGTGATTACTCCTTCTCACTACTCATTGCTCTTTTTCCTGATATGGTTAAATTTTATTTGAGGTCGAATCTGATACAAATTTATGATTTTTTTGAAAGCTACCGCAATTACTCTAGAGCTGATAAAAATTTTTGTTATCTCACTGTGGCGGTTTTGGTGTATCACTTGTGGAGAGAAAGAAACAATAGGAGATTTTCTGATGCCTGGAGAAGTCCTGATGAGCTCAAGAGAGTTATTAAATTGGCTATTGCTGCTAAAGCCAGGAGCTGGAGACATTATGATAGGCTCAAAGATAAGTTTAAGGATTTACTGGGTTGACGGATTGCTTTGTCCGTCTGTTTGGCTGACGTTTTTCATTAAGCCTGATTGGTTTTTACTACTTTTGAAGATTTTGGATCCTATTCCTCTTCATTCCGATTTTTCTGGGAGGATCATTATGTGGATTTTGGCACCTTTCTGCTGCTTATCATTTTCTGGTGGACTGGTGGTTTTTCTTTCAGTCTCGACTCACTGTGGCTTCGAAGGGTGGCTTGCAGATTTGGACAATGATGTGTCTGATTTACATCTTATATGCATCCTTGGACAGTCATTCGGCAACCAGGATGCGTTTTTTGGACACTGTGATGGTCTTTCTATTCGTTGTGTAGGCAACCAGTGTCTATGTGGGCTTCGGGTTTTGGCTGTTTTGATTGAGGCTTTGATGCCTTTTGATGTAAATCAATTTTCCTAAGTCTGTTTTATCTGCAAGCTTTTCTTTTCTTTTGGGGTGGTATAGTTTTCTTTTCTTTTACATGTAAGTTCTTTAATTGCAACCTTTGGTGATTAATATAAAGACTTTGCCCCCATTTTTCCCAAAAAAAAAAAAAAACGGCCTATAATCGACTACACATTTTTTCTCGAAGCACAGCGCTAAGTTTTACCTGATTGCCTATACAATATACATGTGCGAGATTTTTTTACACACGCCAACTCACTTCATCGTCATAATTGCACGAATCATAAGACATATTTTATCATCCTTTTCTCCGTGTGCTGGGGTCATTTTTGGGTGCAATCTTCGGTGCAATTGAACACTCCGGTCTTCACAACGAGCAGCCACGTGGCATGCCGGTATATTCACCCCATAACAAAACCCGAATCTACCCCTCAACATCCACTAAAAGACAATGAACCATCCACAAGCAAATGTAAATAATAACAAAACCCTACCCTATTTCAGGCGTTGTCTCACACCCGTTCCTCCACTTCCTCTCCTCCATTTTTTTCCCCCAAATCCGGCGCAAGGACCCGAAAGCCATGGACGCCGGTTATGGCGGCCGAGTTGAAGCTCAGCGTCTGCTAGAAATCGCCGACAAACTCCTACTATCGCGTGATCTTGTCGGAAGCAAGCGCTTCGCTGAGCGAGCTCTTGAGTCTGATCCTCTCCTCGAAGGCGTCGACCAGATCCTCGCCGTCGTTGATGTACTTCTCGCCTCACAGAGACGCGTCAACAACCAACCGGACTGGTACTCCATTCTCCAACTCCCTCACCCTTCTTCTTCCTCTTCCGCTTCCGGGGACAATCGACTCGACATCAAGCGCAGCTTCCGCCATCTTGCTCTTTTACTGAGCCCTAATCTCAACAAGTTTCTCTATGCTGACTCAGCTCTACGCATCGTATTCGACGCTTACGCCTTTCTTTCCGACCCCGCTAAGAAATCCCTTTTCGATTCCCAGCTCGGATCAAACAGCCCCCCGGTGGCTGCCGCTCAGCCGCCGGATCGTTCGTTCTGGACTTCATGCCCTTCTTGCTTCCACGTGTTTGAGTACGATCGCGTTTACATTGATCGTACGCTTCGGTGCCGGATTTGCATGCGGCCTTTTCATTCCGCCGAAATGGCGGCGGCGCCGCCTATTGTGCCGGGGACTGACATGTATTATTGCTCGTGGGGTTTTTTTCCAGTAGGGTTTCCTGGGAGTGGCTTTCCTAACTTTAATGTGCCGCAGTTCGGAGAGGGGTGGAAGCCGTTCTATCCGGTGAGCCCGAGATGGGGGGACCAAAAGGAGGGGAATAAGGAGAAACCTTTGAATGCTGTGCCGGTTAATGTTGCCATGGGAAATCCTAATGCTGATGCGGGGAATAGTGGGAGGATGGGTAGTATCGTGAAGCCTAATAAGAGAGGCTTGCCGATGAGAAATAAGAAGGTGGTTGCGAAGAAGAGAGTAGGTAATTATGAGAAAAAGATTGATCTTTTCGGAGAAACTGATTCAGAGGCCGAAGGGCTGGAGACTGGGGGTGTGGGAAGCGGCACTGTGGCTCCTGCTTCAGAGGGGGAAGGCATTACTAACTTTGATATTGACCTGGAAGCTACGGAGGATCTTCTGAGTAATCTGCATGATCTTCCCTTTGTCTAAGAGGAAGAATTCAAATCTCTCTCTCTTAGCTTTTGAGATTAGTAAGGTGTAGGAAGGGAAGGCGGCAGTTTTGTATCTTATGCTTTTTTATATGGATATAGTGATGTAGTGGAAATGCTGAATGAAGTGTATAAAATCTGAAGATGGAATATCGGAATATTTCCTGCCGATGGAGGATTTAGCAATTTTTTTAGTTAAATGGTAGTCTATCTTCTCAAGTGCTGCCCACGCATTCTTGTCTCAGTATGGATGCCAAAATCTTCTGCTTATTTTCATAATTTTTGCAGGTATGTTAAACTCAACTGTTGTAGTGACTTTTCAATATCTCATTTTGATGGATTGGCTAATTGAACTAGAAATGTGGATGCAGCTAATCAATAATTGATTGCTTCTGTTTTATATGGTTCAAGAGGAAATCTTGCATTGCACATTCATTAGTACTAAGGAAGTGATATGAAAAATATCACATCTAACTTAATGACACTGCTTCTATAGCCGTTCACCTTCTGTTTTTTTTTTCCTGTTTTAAAAATTTGTTATTCAATGCCGCTCAATGTGGAATCATACAAAATTTATCCTTTTTTTTTCTTTTGCTGCGTCTATAACACCTACAATTTTAAGTAATGTAGAACGATGAAAATCTTTACATGCCCAGGTAGCCTCTTCTGAAGTATTTTTGCCAGAATGTTCGCATTCTTGTTTTTCACCGTCTGTACTGATTTTGGAATTTTTTTTCCATCTTCAGTTCCATTGATCTCGTCTACAATCCTGTTAATTTTTTTTTCTGCAGTTACGTACTCTACACCTCCAAAAACATTTTTGTTTCTACAGTTTCATACACCTTCTTGGCAGGAATTTTTATTGCGTCCTCCCACCTGACGTAGAGATACTTCCTCCCACCGCTAAAAAACTCGGTTTTTGCTCGGTATTGCTAGGTATTATTTGATAATAACGAGGAATATCATCATGTGAAGACCAATACCGAGTTATACCGAGCTGTACCGAGCAATACAAAAAAATACCGAGTTCTTTCTAGGAAAAACTAGGTATTTTTTTGTATTGCTCGGTATTGCTCGGTATAACTCGGTATTGGTCTTCACATGATGATATTCCTCGTTATTGTTTGGTATTGCTCGGTATTTGCTCGGTATTTCTCGTTTTTTAGCGTGAATTTAGCTCTGGGAGGACGTATCTCTACGTCAGGTGGGAGGACGCAATAAAAATTCTCTTGGCAGAGGGTTCACATCCTGACTGACTCCATTGATCACAAACAATGTTTACTTGCAATAACTAAGCCTTCTATGAAAGAATGATTTTGAATTCCTTTCAATAATAATGGTACAAATATATATCACCACAAAAGTTCCTTCATGTTTGAAATTTATTGCTAGATTATATGAATTGATTTCTTGACATAGCTTGTCAGTCCAGATTGCTGGGTAAAACTTGTAGTTTGTCTGCTGTGTAAAGCACAGAAGAGCTTTTGTTTTTGAGATTATATATATTCAGCAACATAGAATTGGATAGTTCGAATTAGAGCCATTCTATAGGATGGTATGCCATCTAAGTAATGCAGACTGTTTGAATTTTACTGCATAACTGTGAGGTTTAATTTTCATTTTCGGCCATATTTCCTGAGCACTTCACTTTTCAGTGGGGTTCTTATTAACATATTTTAATTGCTTGATTACATGTTTATGTAATTGCTGAATGTCTTAAAATTTTGTTTTGCTTCTCCCGCACCATTTTAACGCCTTTGCTAGGATTATAATATTAAAATTATTGTGATTTATTTGGATAAGCCAATCCCTTCCATCGAGGCTTCCTCAATGTGTATGAGAGGGGTGATTTGGGAGTAGTTATCCTAAATGTAGATTAATTTTATTTTAACTTTTTTTTCCCCTTAATGTTGTGTTATGGTTTATTTAGATTTGGGATTGAGACCTTTGGGCATTGTCTAGGGGTGTAAATGAGTTGCGCCAAGTTCGAGTCTCAGCAAGCTCGAGCTTGACTCATCACTGAAATTAACAACTTGAACTGGAGCTCGAGTCGACCTCATGAAACGAGCTCAAACTTAGCTCAAGCGTATGTACTCAGGCTCGTGAGCTCGACTCAATACACAACAGCCAGATTTTTGCTTTGCCAAACAAGCTCACGAACCGCGGTGGAGTCGAACGAACTCACTAATCGCAGCTAGAGCATGCTTTGCTGAATATATTGTATATCAGTTTTCAAGAAGAAAAAGGAAGCTGATACAACTTTTTTTTTTTCCTTGAAAAAGCTGACAACAAGTTTTTTTGGGTAATAAGCATAACAAAGTTAATGCGCTTGGACATTTTTTTTTAGTATCATACAATACTTTTAAATATTATTATTGAATATTTAAAATTTAAATAACACTTTTAAATATTTATTGCACTAGAAAAATATTTAATATTTAATTTATTTAAACCGGCTTGCGAGTTGATGAACCGAGTTTAGTCAAACTCGAGCTCATTTAATATTTGAGCTTGTGGCTAGATATGCTTGACTCATGAGCTCGTTAGCGAGTCGAGTTCGATCCGGCTCGACTCATTTACACCCCTAGCACCATCCATTCGAGCCTCTTGGATTTGTAAGGTAAGGAACTAGTATGTAATTTTTCTTTAGCTAGATTAGGTTTTGTTTTACTACATTTTTCTAAAAAAAAAAATTGCTTATTTAGATATTGGCCTAAGCTTGACATAAGCTCCCATTGTCCCCTCCTACTCTTGGGAGCATAATCTCGATTAAGAAGGTTGCTTGAGCCCAAAATATAAGCTTGAATTGAATGTTTATGTCTGAATTGAATTTATTAGGAACGATTGGTGGGATGGAGGTAGATTTGATCAAGATCCAATAATTTTATCGTACTAGACATACTAATGGAACCCAATCTAGATATGTTAGAGGGTTATGAGCCATCATCGGTGGAGCCTGATCAACAATCAAACATTACCTCTCAGGTATCTCAAATGTATTGAGGTGTAAATATATAGTGTACTGAAGATGTGCTTTTGAGATTGTGTCAACCCATATAATGTGGAGGGTTGATTCTACACTTTTACTAGGTTCAATAAATAGTTCAATGGCACAAATCATGATTGCTTGCAATTCATAGGTACTTGAGATGATTACAAAAGCTCAAAGGTATTCGTTAGAAGGCCCAGTGTTTGATAAATGGGTTTGTTGGTTTTATATCGACCCAAAAAAGTCAAAATGAGCTTAGATCCTTGTGGACAAAGAAAACCCAATAATGGGTCCCTTAACTTACAAGTAAGTAGGCCTATTTGGTTTAATTAGACAAGCTAGTTTGATTTATGCTAGTCCAACTAATTTTGATGAGGGATTACATCCAATGGGGAGAGAATTTTATGGTTGGAAGCCCTCATAATTAATTATTTTTCCTGCTCATGAAAGAGCAATCTTGATTAATAATGTTGCTTAGGCTCAAATTTTAGGCTTAGACTTAATGTTTTTGTTTGAGTTGAATTAATGAGGAATGATGGGATGGATATAGACTTGATCAAGATTCTAGGACTTTGTCACCCAAAGTATGCCAATAATGCCATTAGTTCTATAGCAATGTTAAAGAGTTTTAAGCCTTAATGTGTAGGGAGCCTGATTAACTCTCATGGTAATCTCCTCTCAAGCATTCTAAGCAAGCTAGGATGAAAAATATATGTATATGCCAAAGACATTCTTGTGAGGTTGACGTCAACACATTTATTGGTAGAGGTTTGGTCTGACTAGTTTCATTAAATAGTTTAGAGGCACAAAACACGACTGCTTGCAATTCAGAGGTACTAAATATAATTGATAAGAGCTTAGAGACATGACATGAACATTCAGTATTCATAAGTTTTAGCCTGACTTGAAGAAATGTATATAAGATATGTCAAAATTTTGGTGCATGTGATATTTTGTTTGATGGGCTTGTTATTTGTTTATTTATTTATTATTATTATTTAGATTAGTGGGCTTGTAGCATGGAAGTTGGCTTTAGTTTAGATTTAGGTTGGCCTACATTCATTGTAAGGTGAATATTTGATTTAATGAGTTTGTTAGTTTTGTGCCTCTCAAATTAATCAAGATGTGGCTTACTCCACTCCATCGATGATTAGGAAAGCCCAATTGTGGGTCTTATGATTTTCCCCTATAAATTAGGTGACTTGTTTAGTTTAATTTGATGTTTTTGATAGCTTTGTGTTTGTTGAATTAGTTGGGGTAAAGCTTACCACTGTAAAGCCCAAATAGAAATTTTATTTTGATTTGTTATTATGAACTTTGGTAAGAGTATTAGGACTTCTATTTTTGTTAAAAATGCATAATAGATCTAGACTTATAACCTTAGTTTTAAGACAATTTGCATAGGTTTTGTTATTTTGAATGTGGAATGACTTCTGAGGAACAGTAGTATGAATTTAGCTCATAGAGAAGATGACCCATATTGCGGGTCGTATGACCTTGCGTTTTAGACAAGATGACCTGCGTCATAGTGATTCACAAGGACTCTTAAATTATCCAAGAATCAATATGGTTTAATTTAAGTTATTAGCATATGTGTCTAGTCAGCTTGGTCAACATTATATGCATTTGAGTTGAAGTTCAATAGTTGTTATGCTTTGCACATATTGATGAATTTGACGTAAACATTGATGCATTAACCTGATTGAAAGTTACCATGTGATATTTATGAACATCCTGAACATTTGTAGGGCTGTTTTCACATATTGGTGTATTTCTAAAAACAGGTTCAAGTGTTGAAAATACTTAGCATGTTTTACGGGATGCTTTGGTGAGTCTATTCAACAACTATAACAATATCAAGCCTTTATCCCACAACATGTGGTCGGCTGCATTAATCATTTTTCTCTATTGCATCCAGTAAAGTGTGAAAATCCCATTTGAATCTAATAAAAAAAATATCATTTCTAATATTTTCTAACCAAATCTTTTTAGGTCTACCTCAATCTTTCTTGATATAGGCAAAATCTAATATTTCTACTCTCCTAACCAGGTCATCAAAAGACCAATATTTTATGTGCCAAACCATCTAAGAAGACTCTCTCTAATCTTATTTGCCATAGGAGCTAATCCAACCACTAGAGCTACTCTATTGAAAGTGAATGATAATTTTATAAAATTTAATTATTTATGTACTATAGATAGGTTGGCCTACATGGTGGATTGGTTATAGTGGCTCACTTGAATTTATTTCTCTTGTTATTTATATGCGCTGAGTTATTCATCTTTGACATTCTTATTAAGTCAAAACATTGAAAAACCAATTGCTGCAAACCTAAGATTGTTAAGTGACCATTATTATATCCTACTTGTTTTTAGAATGTGCCATATAGGTTAAATTTAATAATTTTTCT